GGTCCCCAGCCTGCCAGTCCATTGAGGCGGGGCCTGGGCCAAGCTCCTCCCCATAGGAGAATCCTCTCCTATGCCCAGATCCTGGGGAAACAGCTGCAAAGAGAATAAACAAGCACTGTCGCATCTACATGGACATTTTAGCCCTCAGGGGGAAAGGCAAACAATTATCAGCAAATAAGTGCTGAGAAGGATACTGAGGATCCAGAGGCACTGACAGAGCCAGAATCTTGGCTGTACCAGCTCTGGCTACAGAAGCATCTTAAGACGTGGATGTTGATAAACAAAAGGTCCCATAACCTAGAAACTGTCCAGACATTTGAGCAGGGGAAAAGAAAGTTCTGTGTTCAGCAGATGTGAGGGTGAGCAGCATGCCAGAGGCCTGGATAAGGATTGTAGTTTTTGTGTGACTATTTCCATAAACGTCAGCACTGTAGAACTTTAGTCAAGTACTAGGCATTGACCCTGACTGCCCCAGGGTGCACGCTTTAGTTTCTAAGTGTCCAGCAGGCCCTTCAGGGCCCTGCCTGGCCTCAGAATCATCACCGGGCCCATCCGTGGTCTCCATGAAGGGAGCTCCAAGGGTCCAGATAGGAGCCCAGGGAACCAACCCTGGTCCCTCAACCTGACTCCCACCCACCTCTGGGCCCTTCCAGGTGCGTGTCGAAGTATTTCGGGCTGAGGAGTTGATGGCATGTGCGGGATTGACCTCCCCCAGAATCGTCCCTTTGTATGGAGCTGTGAAGGAAGGGCCTTGGGTCAACATCTTCATGGAACTGCTGGAAGGTAAGGAGCCAGGGGCCATTCTTTCTCCCTCCAGAGTCAGAGCCAAGGGTTTCTTCAAATCTTGCCCAGGTTAACCTTGGTCCCCAGTCAATCCATTTGTAAACTCTTGACCTCTTGACATCAGCAAGAAAGGCCTGCTTTCTACCACCTGCCGTTCGAAGTCTCTTGCCCTTGGCTGACTTGGAGGCCCGGAAAAGCCCCATGTAAAGACCAGCCATTGATCTCCTAGGTGGTTCGCTAGGTCAGCTCATAAAGCAGAAAGGCTGTCTGCCAGAGGACCGGGCCCTTTACTACCTGGGCCAGGCGCTGGAAGGCCTGGAATACCTCCATACCCGCAGGATTCTACATGGAGATGTGAAAGGTAAGGCTCAGGGCACCCGTGGCCCTGGTCCCTCTTGGGCTCTCTCCTCACCCCATCATGCCTTCTTCCTCCCAGATCTTCTGGGCCTGCGTCAAGGTGGGTGGGCTGAGCCAGCAGGAAGGGAAAATGTGTTCTCCCAGCCCTCAGCCTGGCACTGTGATTTCCAGTGGGTGATGCCCACAGAGAACAGCTAATCAAGCTCCTACTTACTGGTGACCATGGGGAGGGGAGGGCAGCAAGGCTGAGTGGCCACATCCCCTCACCCTCTGAGAGCCTGCATGCTGCCTACTTCCAGCCTGAACTGATCCCTGCCTCCCCCCTCCCTCCATGACTAATGAAACTAATCAGAAGCTGCAGCTGCCACGTAGGGTCAGCCAGAAAACTGCCCCGCCGGAGGTTCAGATTGGGCCGGGGCCCTGGGTGACTCACCTGTTCCTCTTCTTCCCGGGGTGGCCTGGCAGCCGACAACGTGCTCCTATCCAGTGATGGGAGCCGCGCAGCCCTCTGTGACTTTGGCCACGCTGTGTGCCTTCAACCCGACGGCCTGGGGAAGTCTTTGCTCACAGGTATGCCCTGCCCCCGACCCCTTCCCCCAAAGAGAGCAGCCTGGCGGCCTTCACTGAGCATTAGCCCTGCGCCTTCTGTACCTTCCTAAATGGCAATCAGCGATGTGAGCACTTTATGTCCATGAAGATACTTCAGCCCCACACCCACCCTAGGTTATGAGGCTTTTGTTGTTAAGCTTAAATACCATTATGCATGTCAGGTGCTTGCTTCTGATGTTGTTACACAGAGGAGGGAACAAAAGAGGCTGGGTGCTACACCCAAGGTCCAAGGTCTGCTGTCTCCGAACCCCCAGGGCTCCACTCCCTTGGCCAGCCTTTACGGGGGAGCTGTGCTCCCGGCCTGTGAGCTCAGCCCTCCCTCGCCTCTGAGAGCATGGTTTTGCAAAGCAAAATGAGATGGCTGACCAAGGGGCCTATGCTCTGTAGCTGGAGAAATGCCTGTTTTTAACTTATATTTTTCTGATTATTAAAATAATCCGTGTCCACAGTAAAGTATTGGATAACTACAGTGTTAAGTGGTTTGGAAGGGGAGGAAAAGTTCTTACCATTCCTCTTGCCCAGAGAGATAATTATGAATATTTTAGATAATTCCCTCCAGGTCTTTCCTTATTCATAATTTTTTTGGTACTTTTCTGTATATAGTTAAGGTCTTCATAACACACTTTTGTGCCCTGCTTTTTTATTTATAGCATTAGCATAAAATTATTTCATTTTGACCAAAGGAAAACCAATCTTTTAGAAGTGATTCTTTGTTATCAAAGGATTCTTGGTAATTCTGAAGATGTAATTTGAACACAGATACCTACTTTCCACTTTGAAATAACTATAGTGTTATTATTATATTGTAAAATATCTTTTATATTATATATATTTTGTATTATATATATTAACATAATAATATATTATATTATATGATATATATTATTTTTATAATATATAAACATATATTTATAATATATTATTATTGAGATATATATGTATAATATATCTTATTATAAAAATATCATTTCTAATCTCTTTCACAGAAAGTAGAGCTAAACAAAAATAAGAAACACAAACCACCAGAAAAAAAATACTATTCACATCTGGCATCAGTCTTTCTAGTCTTTTAAGTTACTAAAATTTCAGGAACATCATACTATTAATCCCTCCCCCTTTTAGAAGGCATTTTGAGAGTTTGAGCCAAAGGGCAGAGGCAATGGGTTTTTTAATTTATTTATTTATTTATTTTTGGCTGTGCTGGGTCTTCGTCACTGCATAGACTTTCTCCATTTGCGATGAGCAGGGGCCACTCTTAGCTGTGCATGGGCTTCCCGTTGTGGTGACATCTCTTGTTGTGGAGCACAGGCTCTAAAGCACAGGCTTCTATAATTGTGGTGCACAGGCTTAGGTGCTCCACGGTATATGGAATCTTCCTGGACTGGGGATCGAACCCTGTCCTCTGCACTGGTAGGCAGACTCTCAACCACTGGACCACCACAGACATCCAGAGCCCGTGTTTTAGATGATATATTCTTTGTTCCCATCCCCAGCACAATCCCCGCCTTGGCTTATCCCCAGCAAGTTGGATCTGGAGGCTTTATCTCTACTTACAGTACTTTGAGACAGAGTCAAGGTATATCAGGAACTGACTGGGGTGGTCACAGCCGAGGCTTCCACCTGTCAGAGCCCACAGTTGCCTTTTCTGTCTCACCTCACCTCCGCAGGGGACTACATCCCTGGTACAGAGACCCACATGGCGCCAGAGGTGGTGATGGGCAAGCCCTGCGATGCCAAGGTGGACGTCTGGAGCAGCTGTTGTATGATGCTGCACATGCTCAACGGCTGCCACCCTTGGACCCAGTACTTCCGAGGACCGCTCTGCCTCAAGGTCTGTGAGCGCACCTGGGATGGCCAGCGGACCATGGGGCCCGGGCTGCAGACTTGGTGGTGCCTCCCGTATTGGCCGCTCCTCAGTGGCAGGCAGGAGCAAGCCAGGGCCTCATCAGAAATGTGGGATCCTGACGTAAATACTTGGCTACCCAAATTTGAGGGTCTGAGGGCAGATCCTGGGTGAAGGGTCTTCTTGAGTTCATGGTTCCAGGCTCTCTTGTGTCCAGACCCCACGCCACCCCCGCCTGTCCTCCTGAGGGTCGTGGGTGCCTGGGGCTTTATGGGCGCCTCACCTCCTGCTCTGTTCTGTCCTACGTAGCCCCCTTTTCCCTTCTTCTTGGAAAAGTCCCAGCCCTCACTCTAGACCAGGCCACTCTAGTCCTTTTGACTGACCCCAGCACAGCAGGACAGGGGAGAGTGGGGAGGAGCAAGAAAAGGAAGTGAGGGGCAGGAAGCGATGGGGAGGCGAGTCTCACATGTTGCCTTTTGACCCCCAGATTGCCAGTGAGCCGCCACCTGTGAGGGAGATCCCGCCCTCCTGTGCCCCGCTCACGGCCCAGGCCATCCAGGAGGGGCTCAGGAAGGAGCCGGGCCACCGGGCTTCTGCAGTGGAGCTGGGGGGGAAGGTCAGCCTGGCCCTGCAACACGGTAAGAGCCCCACACTGGCGGCGGGAGGTGAGAGGCGGCGGGGTCGTGTGGCGTCACAGACAAGATGTGCAGCCTCTCAGAGCCTCGGCTCCCCATCGAGAGCATGGGCATGACGCCAGCCTCAGGCCTGTTAGGAAGACTGAGGTCACCTGAGTCCAAGTGCTTAGTACTGTACCTTGATGCAGAGGCCATGCTCGAGATGGGGGGAAGAGGTCACAACATATAAAGGGGGCTTGAACTCATTAGTAGCAGAGAATGTGAAATAAAGCCAGGTATCACTTTCTAGCCATTTGTGTGGGAGAAAGTCAGAAAGCTGGCGGTGTCAACTCGGTGGGGATGGGGGACCGTGGCCCATCTGCTCCGCTGGAGGGCACCTGGCAGCTCTCAGACAGATGTCTGCAGACCCGGGACCCTGCACCCCACTCCAGGGCGCACCACCGAAGAAACTCTGCCCAGATCCATGAGGGACACGCCTGGGGCTGTACACTGCAGTGTCATTTGTGGGAGGGGAGATGGGCGCACTTGGGTGTCCCTCCTTGGGAGACACGAAGAGGCCAAAGGTGGGAGTGGCATGGGGTGGGGTGGGGTGTAGGATGCTCCATGCAGCACTGACAGCAGTAAAAGCACCTCAGTGTTCACAGGGCAACCTGGCTGGATCTTAAAACTATGGCGCCCGGTAAAGAAGGGACCAACAGAGCAAGGCCTAGAATACAGTGCCTTTTGTGTAAATTAAAAATCGATAAATAAAAACAACACACACTTGGCAAGAATTCAGTGGAACCTAAAGTGACATATTGCACTTTTGATGTCTACTTAAGATAGAACGTCAGTGGGGTGCAAGGGAGGGAAGTGGCAGGGCTTGAAAGGCAGTGGTGAGGAGAACGAATAGGGAATGAGTAAAACAGGAGAGAGACCTTACATAGCCCCCACCCCAAGCGTAGATGGTGTTATAATGGCCCCCCATTTATAACGGCTGAACTGCTGCCCCCAGCTCCAGAGAAATAGTGCCCCCTCGGGAAGCACCGGCTATCGGGAAGGGAAGGGTAAGATATGGAGGGTCAGCGAGGCCCATTCTCCTGGAAGCTATGAGTGGGCATTACCCCAGAGCTATTTTTAAATCTTCCCTTTATAATACTATTAATATTAACAAAGTCCTTCTCTGGAGCCAATTCTATAATTTTTAAACTTGCAACTGTTACCTGGAAGGAAAAGGGAATAAAAGAAATACTGTTCTATTTTCATGAGAGGACTGATCTTAAGGAAGAAGCCTCCTGTGAAGACCACGCAGCGCCCTCTGAAACCGTGTCCTGGCTGTGCGAGGGGCCGCCCTCCCTGCCCACTTCTGGCGCTCCTCTGCTCAGAAAAGGCCACCAGGCCTGGCCTGTTCCCTCCTCACCACGTGTGCTCTCTGTTTTGTAGTGGGAGGTCTGAGGAGTCCCTGGAGGGGAGAGTACAAAGAACCAAGACATCCGCCGCCACTCCAAGCCCACCCACCGCCAAGCCAAGGCCACCCTCACCAGACCCTGTGTGCCCCGCCAGGGGAGCTCTCACCAGGGGCCCCGGGGCTGCAGCCAGCTAAGGACGCAGCAGGCGGGGCCCCTAAGCTCCAACCTCCTCCACCCCCAGACCCCCCAGAGCAGATCAAGTCTCCCAGCCTGCACTGGGGCAAGGAGGAGTCTGGGACGTGGGACCCACTGCCCCTGTCCTCCCTGGATCCAGCCCCCGCCAGGAACCCCAGCTCACCCGAGCGAAAGGCCACCTTTCCTGAGCAGGAGCTGCAGCAGCTGGAGATAGGTACGGGCGGCTGCGGCCTTCAGGGCCTTGGACACCAGCCTGGTCTCTGCCCCAAGGCCCCGGCTTCATCCTCGCCATGGCCAGCCCCCGCCCTGGGCTCAGCCGTCTGTGCAGCGAGCCCAGACCCCTCCCGGTCCTTCACAGCCGTCTTCTGCCTCTCTCTGCAGAGTTATTTCTGAACAGCCTGTCCCAGCCGTTCTCCCTGGAAGAGCAGGAGCAGATCCTCTCGTGCCTCAGCGTCGACAGCCTCTCCCTGTCAGACGACAGTGAGAAGGTGAGTGGGCCACAGACCAGGAGCCCGGGCACAAGGCTGGCGGCTTTGTGTCCACTCCGTGGAGGTGTTGTGTGCAGGTAGCGGGTTAAGGGCAGATGATAGGGTCGCCCCTTTCTTATGGGAGGAGTCCTCGTTGGGGCTGGGGGGTCCTGGTTTCTCAGAATGAAACAGTCCATCTCCAGCACACCTGGGAATGCAGGACTGGTTTGGCGACTAAGATAGTGAGGGGAAAGGCTGGCCTTTAGTCCCCATAGAGAATAATCATCACCCTCCTCCAGCCCCAGGGCCCCTAAAGAATTCAGCGCCCCCCCAAAAAAAAAAAAAAAAACAGAATTCAGCCCCGTGCTGAGTCCCAACAGTGACCAGTAGAGCCACGCTCCAGCCCAAGCCAGGAGCACTTCCTCGCCAAAGTAGACCAAGGCCAGAGAAGGTTCCCTGAGCCCAGGGACCTGAGTCTGTGCCCACTCTCATTTCAGAACCCGTCCAAGGCTTCTCAGAGCTCGCGGGACACGCTGAGTTCTGGCGTGCACTCGTGGAACAGCCAGGCGGAGGCCCGCAGCTCCAGCTGGAACATGGTGCTGGCCCGGGGGCGGCCCACCGACACGCCAAGCTATTTCAACGGTACAGTCCCCTGCTCCGCCTGGGACTGGGGAGTCTGAGGGTAGGGCACAGTGGGGAAGGGAGAGGAGGAAGGTACCTACCACCCAGAATCTGAGGTGCCTGGCCACTGAGTCAGTTTAGAGTAAACTAAAATCAGAGCCTCTCCTTATGGGGCAGTGAAAGACCATGGCCCCTCATGGGCAGCTGATGGGAGTCCCAGAAGCCTCTAGCTGGGGGTAGAGAGCAGTCTCCTAGCTGGAGTCGAAAACCTGAACTTCTGAAGGGAAAGGGAAGAACAGGAGCTCATGAGTATTTTAATCAAGAACTCAGCAATAGGGACTTGCCCAATGGTCCAGTGGTTAAGACTACCTTCCATGCAGGGAGTGAAGGTTCAATCCCTGGTCAGGAAACTGAGATCCCACATGCCGTGGGGTGTGGCCAAAAAATAGAAGAAAAAAAAGAGAGCTTAGCCATAGGTTTCCTGAGATCCTCCTCTGAGATTTGAAGTCGGAAGATGAGAAAGACAACACATGTGGAACTTCTTTGTTTTCAAGTGTGGTTGCAGAGGTCATGCTTTGATTTTGATAGAACAAGAGTTTAACCAGCTCACAGTTCCCTGGCCTTTCCAGGGCCAGTGTGACTCATGGCATCAAGCCCCATGCCTGACCAGAGGCTGTCCCACCTCAGGGAACATTACCATCTAAGTTGCCCACAATCCAATTTAAGAATCTTTGTTTCCAGTTCCTTTCTGCTTTTTGTGTATAAGTTGGAATACTGCTTCCACACAGGAGCCAACCTTAGCCCTTTGCATTGTGCAGGCCAGAGTCCCAGTACTGACAGAACATGGCCATGAAGAGCTAGCAGGGGTATAACGTTACAGCCCTTCCATCCTAAAGCCATCTCTGCAGCTTCTTCAGCCACCCTGCTTCCCCCTCCCTAGGGCGCCTTAGGGAGCTTGCAGCCACTCTCCTGATGGCCACCTTGCCTGACTTCTAGGTGTGAAAGTCCAAATACAGTCTCTCAATGGCGAACACCTGCACATCCGGGAGTTCCACCGGGTCAAGGTGGGAGACATCGCAACGGGCATCAGCAGCCAGGTGAGGGGGCAGGTACCTGCTAAGGGGCAGACTCCCAGAATCTGGTGTGCCTAGCTCAGTCCTCCAGGAAGGAAGCTTTTGAATAAGTAGAAATGGCACCGGAGGGAATGGTTGGCCCTGGAATGTCCACCCGCCCCCCAGGGTCCCAGGGCAAGACTGGCAGTGGTGACTGAAGGGTCCTCAGGATCCTCACCCACTTGGGCTGGGTGAGATTCTCCAAGTCTTCCAGAATGAAAGGCAGATAATACTCCAAGGCTGCCCGCTGCGTTGGAGGAAAGTGTCTCCCAGCGCAGCAGGAAGCCATCAGTTCTGCTCTGCTGGGACCCTTCAGCACCCCGGCCGCTCTCAGGCCCCCTGGTTTGCTCTGCCCCCAGATCCCAGCTGCAGCCTTCAGCTTGGTAACCAAGGACGGGCAGCCCGTGCGCTACGACATGGAGGTGCCGGACTCAGGCATTGACCTGCAGTGCACCCTGGCCCCAGACGGCAGCTTCGCCTGGAGCTGGAGGGTCAAGCACGGCCAGCTGGAGAACAGGCCCTGAGCAGCCTTCCACCACTGGCTCCACTTGGCCAGAAGCGGCCTTCCTTCTCGGTGCTCAGTGCTGTCCCTGAGACACAGGCTCCGCCTGCTCCCGGATCTCTGCCAGCCCATGGCTCAGCGGTGGGACCAGGGGCTGGCAGCAGTAAGGCGGCGCCAGCAGAACACCTCCCAGGATTTCCCACCTGGGTCCTGCCTGAGCCCATAGGAGAGGAAGAGGAAGACAGGAGGCCTCTTCCCACGAGGAACCAAGAGGGTCTTCTCTGCCTTCGTCCCGACAAGCTGGCCTGACCCCGTCAGGATCAGTGACCACCTGCTGGCAGTCAGGGGAGAGCAGCTTCCGGCCCAGGTCAGGGAGAGGTGGGTGAGCCCTCCCTCAGTTTCCAGGCAGGTGTGAGCGTGTAACGGCCCCCACCCAGGCCCAGTCCAGGACTAGGGTGGCAGGTGTGCCTCCCCTTGAGGTAATGGAGGGGGCCCCTCTGACCCCCTTGCCCATCTTTGCCTGGCCATCAACCCCTCTTCTAGCACTAGGAGCTTCTCAGGCCAGGGAGGGAGGAATGTCTGATGTGGGGATCTCTCTGGGAGAGAAGGCCACTTCTCAGGGTGCTGCGACTCAGGCCCTGAGCTGAGGTCAGCTTCAGAAGAACCAGAGAAGGCGTTCCAGTGACACGGTTCTCAGTCCCCAAGCACGCGCCCCTTTGCCGCCAGCCACCAGTCTGCCCCAGAGCAGCAGGCCCCGAGCCCAGCTGCAGGCGCAGCACGGCCCCTGCCCAGCTGGCACTCAGCTCGCTCAGCTGTGGAAGTGGAGGGTGACATGAGACCTACCTGACAGGAACGCTCTGAGGACAGAGCACGATCGACTCCACAGAAAGCAACCGATGCAGGCGCTCCTGTTACCCAAGGCCCTGGCCTCCCACACCCTCACACGAGCCTCCCAGGACACTCACTGACCCTGCCGCCCCTGGTCTCCAGGGCACCGCCAGCTGCACTTTGCACTCTGATGACCTCAAAGCACTTTCATGGCTGCCCTCCTGGAGGGCAGGCCAGCGGTTCTGCATGGGCACAAGCAGGCCAGGAGATGAGGGGAAGGGACTGAGCTCTTGACCCTTCTGCATGCATGTGACCCCTCAAACCCCCTCCAGATTTCCTTAAGATGTGCCCCCCCCCAAGCCAGCCTCTTCCTTCAGGGGGCAGCTGATCAGGACTCATGTAGCATTAAGCAACTGTGAATTATTGCAGGGTGAGGGGATGTCCCCTGAGATTTCATCTAGGGAGAAGCTCATCCCCACATCTTGCCAGGTGGCCTTGGCCCAGCTGTCCACATTTAGCCATTACTCCTCCCCAGGGAGAGACTCCCAGCCCCCAGGATGTGAAGAACTGCAGCCTCGGCACTGCAGAGTTGAAATGGTAGAAAACTTTGTAAGCAATAAAGTTTGAGGTAATGACAAGTGTGTGTGTTTGGGCCGTGGTTGTCTCCACTCCCGCCTGCCTGTGCCCTGAACCTCACATCCTACCAGCTGCCTCCCTCTGACTTCTTGATGGTATCTTATCCAGTTTTGCCCCACCCTGGGCAAAGACTGTTTTCAGCCCTTTCCCACCACTCCTCTTAGTGACACTTCCAGTCCTACCTCTGGGCTATCCATTCAGACCAGTTAGACAAGACGCCCCACGTGCTGACAGCTGGGAAGTCCCTGGCTGAACAGTGTCAGGCTGAGGGGAGAAGGAGCAGGGCGCCAAGGGCTGGGCACTGCCCAAGCAGGGGTAGTGGAGGCGGACTGCATGCCCAGAACCAAGACTGTCCCACTCGCTCCTCTGTCCCTGAGGGGACTGGACTGGGAGTGGACCTGAACTGCCAGTCTTCCCAGCCACCTGGGTGTCTGCACGTGCTCAGAGATGACTTTGCCAAAGTAGATTCCCTGGCGTTGGGACAGAACCTGAGGATGGATGTCACTGGCACGCAGGGTGCCTCGGCTAATCTGGCTCTACAACAGGAGTCTATATCCAAGTTCGTGTGCATAGATACGTGTGCACACCCTGGGGCAGAGGTGGCAAGTTCAGCAGGTTCCTGGAGGATCCTGGGCATGCAGAATCCTGGCACGCAGAGGCCTTGTGCCAATGTGCCCAGGACAGACCCAAAGCTCAGCCCTGCAGACCTCAGGCTTCTGGCCGGCAGCAGGGAGGAGCTCTGACTGCGGGGCGAGGAGGAGCCCCCTTCTCGGGAAGACTCCCCCACCAACTGCCAAGCCCACCCACACGCCGTGGGGCTCACGTCAGGGACGTCACAGAGGCAGCGACATCACAGGCACCGGCGCCCTGCCCCACCCCACCCGATCCCCCGCATCTCTACCGCCCCCCACAGCCTGCCACCAAAGAGCGTACTGGAGGCGGAGGGGCAGCAGCCACCAGCCCGCTCCCCGCCTCCCGCACAGAGTCTCGGTCAGCATGGGGGTGACAGGTGGGAGCGGGCGGGCGCGCGGCGGGGCAGGGGCGGGGCCGGGCGGGAAAAGTGAAAGTGGGGGCGGGATCGGCCGGGGCGGGCAGGCGCCGGAGAGGAAGGTAGACCCCAGCCAGACCCCTCGCCGTCCCCGCGGATGAGGGGCGGTGCTTCCCTGGCCACCACGCCCAGCGTTGGCCCTGCGCGGCGCACGACTGTGTGTGTGTGTACAGATACACGTGCACGCCGAGGGGTAAAGGCGTTCTGGACACAGAAAGAGTAGAGGCCCTGTGCCCAGGAAGCGATATATGAATTACCCCAAACCAGAGGAAACACCCCCGCTCCAAATCAAATCAAGTGTTTCCGTGGTTGATGCTTGAGGCTTTTGCAGAGAAAGGCAGTGTGCTTCAACAGATATTTACTGAGCCCCTCCGTTGTGCTTTGCACTTCTTTCTGTACCCTTGAACCAAGATGTTTTCCCCTCAGGACCCTGAATCCCCCAGGTTTCTAACAAGGGGGCCCAGATCTCCCCCACCCCCGGACTGGAGACCTTCTTCTCAGGACTTTCTCTCCCAGGACGTGGGCCAGCCTTCAAAACGTGCCAAAAATCAACAACCAGAGAACAGCTTTCCCCTCAACAAACAAATTGATGCAGACATCTTAAATCACTCCTACAATGTTTATTGCATCCCCTTCTCTTTTTTCTTTTTTTTAATCTTAGACAACTGTATTTTATTGTATTTTTAATTGAAGTATTGTTGATTTACAATGTGTTAATTTCAGGTGTACAACACAATGATTCAGTGAGATTATATATATATATATATATATATTCTTTGTCAGATCCTTTTCTCTTATAGGTTATTTCAAAATATTGAATATAGTTCCCTGTGCTCTACAGCTGGTGGGTCATCTATTTTAATATATAGTAGTGTGCATGTGATTCCTTCCCACCCACCCCCACTGCTTTCCCCCTGAAAGTGAAAGTGTTAGTTGCTCAGTCCTTTCCAGTTCTTTGCAACCCCGTGGACTGTAGCCTACCATGTTTCTCTGTCCATGGGATTCTCCGAGCCAGAATACTGGAATGGGCTGCCATTTCCTTCTCCAGGGCATCTTCCCAACCCAGGAATCAAACTCAGGTTTCTTGCATGGCAGGCAGGTTTTTTTTTTACCACCTGAGCCATCAGGGAAGTAACCACAAGTTTGTTTTCTGTGTCTGTGAGTCTCTGTTTTGTAAGTAGGTTCATTTGTTTGTTTGTTTTTTAGTTTCCACATATAAGTCATATCATCTTTGTCCTTCTCTGTCTGGCTTCTTCAGTAGTGTAATAACCTCTAGGTCCATCCATGTTCCCTGGAGAAGGGAACAGCTACCCACTCCAGTATTCTGGCCTAGAGAATTCCGTGGACTGTATAGTCCATGGGGTCGTGAAGAGTCGGACACGACTGAGAGACTTTCACTCACTTCATCCATGTTACTGTGAACGGTATTATTTCATTCTTTTTTTTTTTTTTTTGACTAAATAATATTCCATTGTATGTATGTGTGTGTGTATACCACATCATCTGTATCCATTCATCTGTTGATGAACATTTAGGTTGCATCCATGTCTTGACTATTGTAAATGCTGTAATGAACATTGGGGTGCAGGTATCATTTCAAAATAGAGTTTTCTCCAGATGTTCTCCAGTGGAATTGTAAGATCTTGTGGTAACTCTATGTTCAGTTTTTTAAGGACTCTCCATACTGTTCTCAATGGTGACTGCACCAATTTACATTCCCACAAACAGCGTAGGAGGTGTTTTTTTTCTTCAAACTCTCTCTAGCATTTATTATTCGTCAGCACTTACTCTGTGCTAGGCCCTGAGTTTAATGAGTTAACTAAAACTTAAAATGTGGGTTAGACAGCCAGGTATGTCACAGAGATAATGACAATGGAGATTTGAGTTGAGCTGTCAGGCATGAGTAGGGTTTTTGTCAGGAGAGAGACTTTCTGAGTATCAGAAACAGCATGTGCAAGGGCATTGAGGCACAAAAGTTCCCACCATGCTCCAGGGCCTCTTGAGCTTGGGGCAAGGCAAGGAACTGGATCCCAGGAGATGAAAAAAGAAGGCAGAGGTCAGACTATGCAGGATCTTTGAGGCCACCCTAGAATCTGAATGTGAGCAGGTGTGATGCAGCAGGCTTATTCTGCAGTCATTGAGATGCCCAGGTTGGGGCCGGGGTCAGGGGGAATGTGGATCAGTTGTCCATATTGAATTATATCAGCTAGAGGCCTAGAGAAATTTCAGTCAGCACAGTGGGTAGCACCATGGGGTTTGGAGCCTATCTGACTTGTGTTCAGGTCGTGGTGCTATTCTTAAGAGCTGTGTGACTTGCACAAACTTCCTCATCTATGAGAGGAGAGTCGTGGCCACCTGTGCAGAGTGTGGCCCTGAGGGTTGAATGCATGCAAAGCACTCAGCACCAAGTGTTGAGGGGGTCAGGAGTCCTGGATTTGTGTTGACTTTGGTGTCAGAAGAGAGAGGCAGTGGGGATGGAGAAAGGATGTGCACAGGTCATTAATAGTGGTGGGAATGTCAGGAGCTGGGGAAGTGAGGAGGTTGCAAGTGACCCAGGTCTCTAACTGGGGTGATAGGATAATGATGAACCAGGGAGAGGAGTTTATCAAGAGATGAGAGATTGGAAAGGAAGGTGGGTCAAACATGCAGAACTGTGTTGGCCATCCTAGAGTCTGGACACAAGGTATGAACTTGAGGCCAAAAATGGGAGATAATCTGAAGGGTTTAGCGGGCTGAGAAGAATAAGGAAACAATTCTTTTTTAAAATAATTTTTTTTATTTATTTATTTTTGGCTGCACTGAGTCTTCATTGCTGTGTAAACTTTCTCAAGTGGCAAGCAGGGGCTACTCTCTAGCTATGGTGCACAGGCTTCCCATTGCGGTGGCTTGTCTTGTTGCAGAGCATGGTCTCTAGAGCATGGGCATCATTGTGGCACATGGGCTTAGTTGCTCCATGGCAGATGGGATCTTCCCAGACCAGGGATCGAACTTGTATCCCCTGCACTGACAGGTGGATTCTTAACCACTGGACCACCAGCGAAGTCCCAGGAAACCATTCTTTGCACAGACTTTTGCTGAGAATCCACCTTGTGCCTGACTCTGTGTAGAGGATCAGAGATTCACAGTAAGCAAACCACACACCCGACCCACCTCTAACTGAGGGTCAGCAAGAAGCTGTGCACTTAGATAGAGGTCTGCTGTGGGGGGGCCTGGGGGTAGAGGGGAAGGGAGCAACTGGAGGAAGACCCCTCAGCTTAGTGCCTTGAGGTAGAGTCTGGGAGGTCTTTAGGAAGAGGTGAGCCCCTAGCTCACCTAGTCATGACAATAGGAAACGGGAATTCCATTCAAACTACTCATCTCAGGCTTTGACAAGGAATCCATAGGGTTTTAAACAGTGAAGTTAAGGCCCCCTGAGGGAAAAATGTGTAATCAGTGACTGCAGTTTAAGTCTAGAACTCAGAAGAGGTGGGAGTAAGAAATAGAAATTGGAGGGTCAAGTGGGAGTATGCAATAGAGATTGGAGGGTCTCCTGTGGTTATAGCCACAGGCTTGAGAGCTCCAAGGGGCAGAGATTGTGTATGTTCATCGCTGTGTCCTCTGCCCTTAGCACAGTCCCTGGACAATAGCTGGCCTCAACCTTTTTAAAATATATTTATTTGGCTTCACCAGGTCTTAGTTGCAGCACACAAGACCTTCAGTCTTCGTCGTGGCATGTGGAATCTTAAGTTGCAGGATGCCAACTCTGAGTTGTGGCGATGTGGGATCTAGTTCCCTGACCAGGGATCAAACCCTCGGCCCCTAGCATTGGGATGGCAGAGTCTTAGCCACTGGACCACCAGGAAAGTACCTCTGGGGCTCAACATTTTTTTTTAACTTTATCCAAGAAATACATGCATATGATTAAATAGTACTGAAGAGCTTATTCAGTGATTGAAAAGTAAGAATCCCCAATACCACATCCCCAGCCTCATTCAGCTGCTCTTCTGGTTGGATATGCTCTTTCATCCCTGACTCTTGCTTTACACCTTTATTTTGCGTTAGCACATCCTCAAATAACTTCCAAAAAAAAAGGAATAAACTTTCTTATTTTTCCATGTCTGAAATGATAGTTTTGTGGGATATAAAGTTCTAGGTTAAAAACCATTTCCCTCAGAATGTTAAAGACAACCGTATTGCTAACTCCACCACCAGTATGATTCTCCTTCCCTTGTTGTTGACTTCTTTTTCACTTAGAAGCATTTAGGAATCCTTTTTTCCTGATGCAATGAACTTTTAGAGCAAAGATGTTTTGGCATCTATAGTGCTGGGTATTCAGCAAACATTTTTAAGCTAATGACATCCTTCAGCTCAGGGAAATACTGATTTTGCTTTTCTTCTCCATGGTCTCCATTCTTTCTGAATCTCCTTTCTATAACCCAGAACTGGATTTCCTTTTGATCCTTTTCTCTCACATTGTCTTGATATTTTAGTTCTACCTTCTAGGAATATTCTCTGTATTTTATTTTTTAATTCTGTTTGCTAAAAAGCTCTTTCTTTTCATGGTTCTTTTTAAAATAGTATCCTATTCTTGTTCTTTGGATGCAATATATATGTTGCTGAATATCTTAAACTCTGAATCACTGAAGATGATTAGAATTTTTCAGTTTCCTTGCTTTTCTTCTGGTGTTCTGGAGTAGTCTTTTCTCTTGGTCGAGCTCTCCTATGTTAGCAGTTTTCTCAAATGCCTAGTGATGCTTGCTTGTCCGTGTATAAGAGTGAAATCATAAAAAGCTGATTGGGAGCCTATGACTACAGGAGCCTATTGCTTTACAGATATTACCTTAATGTGACCACTCAGGAATAGACATATCTCTGGCAGGTTTGAGAAGACTCACACAACTGATACATCTACAGCCAAACTGGACAAGGGAAAAAAAAAAAAAAAAACAGACAAAAATTACCAGCATGAGAAATGAAAGAGGTAATACCACTACAGACTCTACAGAAATGAAAAGAATAATTAGGGAATATTAGGAACAATTTATGCCAATAAATTTGACCACTTAGATGAAATGGATAAATTCCTTTTAAAAAATACAAACTCCAGAACCTCACTCAAGAAGAAATAGATATTCTGGGAGTGGATAGTGGTGATGGCTGCATGACAATATACTTGATGCCACTGAACTGCATACTTAAAAATGATTTTAAAAGGGCAATTTATGATATGTGTGTTTTATCACAATAAAAAAGAAAGAAATAGGTAGGCTAAAGACCCTGTATCTATTTTTTAAGTTGAACTTGTAACTAAAAATCTTCTCACAAGGAAACTCCAGGTCCAGGTCCACAGGCTTCATTTGTGAATTCTACCAAACGTAATGAAGAAATAATAAAAATTTTATACAAACTCACAAAATTGAAGAGGGGACATGTCTCAACTCATTCTATGGGACCAGCATTACTCCAATGTCAAAACCTTACATCATAGACATTATAAGAAGAAAGACATTAAAAGAAGAGAAAATTGCATACCAATACAATTCATGAACGTCTATATGAAAATTCACCTTAAAAGTTAGAAAATAAAATTTGACAATGTATAAAGAGGTAGTACATTGTGATCAAGTGAGATTTATCCCAGGAATACAAGATTTCACCATAAACAAATTATAATAGAATTATTAGCAGAATACTATGTAACATATGTAGCACATGCTTATATAACTTCCTTGGCTTCCCTGGTGGCTCAGGCAGTAAATAATCCGCCTACAACGCAGGAGACCTGGGTTCCGTCCCTGGGTTGGGAAGATCCCCTGAAGGCAGGCATGGCAACCCACTCCAGTATTCTTGCCCAGAGAATCTCATGGACAGAGGAGCCCAGTGGACTTCAGTCCATGGGATCACAAAGAGTCAGACATGACTGAGCGACTAAGCACATACAGCCATACATACGTAACTTATATAATGTATTAACAGAATATAAAAGTAAAACATATGATAATAAATTCAGAAAAAGCATCAGATAAAACCCAATATCCCTTCCTATTTAAAAATGAAGTAGGAATAGAAGGAAACTTCTTCAACCTGATAAATAGCGTCTATGAGAAAAACTATAACATATTTCATAATGAAATACTAGATACTTTTCCCCTAAGCTCAGTAGGAAAGCAAGAATCAGTTCAGTTCAGTTCAGTCGCTCAGTCGTGTCTGACTTTTTGCGACCCCATGAATCGCAGCATGCCAGGCCTCCCTGTCCATCACCAACTCTCGGAGTTTACTCAAACTCATGCCCATCAAGTCGCTGATGCCATCCAGCCATCTCATCCTCTGTCGTCCCCTTCTCCTCCTGCCCCCAATGCCTCCCAGCTTTGGAAAATACCCTGATGCTGGGAGGGATTGGGGGCAGGAATATCTACTCTCGATTCTATTCCACATTGTTCCAGAGATTATTCTCAGTGCAATAAGAAGAGGAACTTGGAGACATCCAGGTTGAAAAGGAAGAAGTAAGACTATGTTGAGTCACAAATATTATTGTTTATGTAGAAAACCCTATGGAATCTTAAAAAAGCTACTAGAACCAATAAGATTTTAGGATGGTTGCAGGATACAAAGTCAACGCCTTTCTATGTAAAGCAATCCACAGTTGGAAGTTGAAATTATTTCATATACTGCCAAATGTCACTTGAATCCCTAATAGAACATTCCCAGGTTGAATATAGAGGCCCCAAGTTGAGTCAACCTCAGATTTGTGCTTCTAAACCCCAGTACTGCAGTGAGGTTCATACCATAATATTTTTTCCTTCTATCCAAATCCAGTTGCTTTTTGTGGAAGAGTTAAGGCTTTAGGTGTTGATTAAACTTCCCAGAGAAATTTTGTTAGGAGGAGAAGGGGATGACAGAGGACAAGATGGTTGGATGGCATCACCTACTTAATGGACATGAGTTTGAGCAAGCTCTGGGAGATGGTGAAGGACAGGAAAGCCTGGTGTGCTGTAGCCCACGGGGTCACAAAGAGTTGGACACAACTGAGCAACTGAACAACAACAACAAAGAAAAAGAAGGCTGTGGGGTCAGAAGCCTGGGGCATAGCAGCAGTTGGGGCAGGTAGAAATGGAGCAGAAGAGAGATGGGGAGGAAGTTGAGGGATGGTCAAAGAAAGCATGGTGGTCAAAGAAGTGATAGTTCTGAAGAGACCACTGAGCCGGCCACAGGGAATCTGTCCCTGGTGCACTCTTAGCCCAGTCACCCAGCTGATCCAGGATCCCAGGCCCAGGCTGAACCTGTGGGTACAGGCTTGCTAAGTCACTTCAATCCTGTCCGACTCTTTGCGACCTTATGGACAGTAACCTACCAGGCTCCTCCATCCATGGGATTCTCCAGGCAAGAATACTGGAGTGGGTTGCCATTTCCTCCTCCAGGGGAACTTCCTAATCCAGGGATTGAACCCATGTCTCTCACATCTCCTACATTGGCAGGTGGGCTCTTTACCACTAGCATCAGCTGTGAAGTGCATGGAGCAACCCAAAGCTCAGGACCCAACATCAGCCATGCAAGGATCCTCCCCAGCCTCTCCACCTCTAGGAAGAGGCCACAGCACATTTTAATCCTTCTAATCTAATCCTGGGAGCAATTCTTCTCATCCAGAGCCAAGGCTGTCACTTCCTGTCACACTGCAGGCTCATAGGGATCCTGGCTTGCTCACTGCCATAATGGCCCCACCATCAACCCCTATCCACCACCCTTGGGCTCAGAGAACGGGACAGTCTGGTGGCCCCTATCACCAAAGGATAAAAAAGAAGCTTCTGCAATAAAAGATACAAGCTTCTAGCAAAGGGGACTGGGAGGGGGTACATACCCCAAGGAGCCAATCTCCTCTGCAAATGATGTTTCATGTTCCAAAATAACCAGCTGGGCTTCCCACATGGCACTAGTTGTAAAGAATACGCCTGCCACTGCAGGAGGCCTAAGGGATACAGGTTCGATCTTTTAGTTGGTAAGATCCCCTGGAGGAGGGCATGGCAACCCACTCCAGTATTCTTGCCTGGAGAATCCCATGGATAGAGGAGCCTGGTAGGCTACAGTCCATGGGTCACAGAGTCAGACACAACTGAAGCAACTTAGCAAGCACGCGTCACCTCCAATCAAGCACCTGGGGTGAGAATTCTGGCCCGGCGCTGGAAATAGATGATCCCAGGATGTGAAATGGCATGAGAAGCCGGGGGAAGAGAGAACAGGATAGGAGTGGCTAGGATGTGAGTGAGTGGCAGATCTGAAGCCTCGCCAGACAGAGCAGAGGAAGGGGAACAGGGGTGGGAATGGAAAAGATGAAGAAATTTCACCTGGGGTGCGACGGAGAACCCCGCACAGTCACAGACTCTGGGGTAGGATGACATTCAGGGCAGGGCAGTGAAGAACTCCTTAAGTGAAGCCTGCATCTAAGTCCTGACTTCCTGAGTGATCAGCTGAGGGACCTTGGGCAAATGAACCTCTTCTCATGTTTTGTGTTCTGTCAAAGAACTAAAGGCTATAAAGTGCTCAACACAATCCCTGGGCTAGTTTCTAGCACTCAACGAATGGAAGTGACCACTATTCGTATTTGCCCTAATGGAGGACAGTGATGGATCACGAAAGGCGGAAGGGAGCAGACGTGGAGGATGGGGTGCTGGTGATGCTGGCAAGGGGCAGGATGGGCAAGGGGATGGCACATGGGCTTAGGTAAGGGACAGGGAAGCAGGGGGGAGTGGCTGCAGCAGTGCCACCAGCCTGAGCTCCAGACTCGCTCAGGGACTGTCCGCACTTGCAGGTCCCCTGCCCTCACATCCTTCTCCCTGCCAGGTGCCAAAGGATTACCCTGCTGTGGCAAAGATTCGGTGGACATTATGGATTCACAGTGAGAACCAGTCCCCCATCACCGTAGGACTTCTCCCCAACTCCCGAGATCACCCACCCTCACCCAGGATCTCCCTCTATCTTGCTTACTTCCAAAGTCTCCCCAAGGCCAGTATCCAGGCCAAAAGGCAGCAGGGGTGAGGATGGAGGCCATCCCCCACTCTGCTTCCTCCCCCAATCCCTCACGTTGGAGGAGGACTGACGGGTGGATGGATGGAGCCTGACCCCTTAGCGTTACCTTTCTCTGAGATCAGAACTACCCAAGGGGAGGGTGGGCAGGTGCCTAAAGTAGGAGAAAGGTTACAGTGACTGAGGGCAGCGGTCGAGATGGCAGCCAACTAGCAATAAGAACCAAGGGTACCCTCCACACACACCCTTGCATTTCAGATTTGCTGAGCTGAAAGCAGGCAGGTTCTGGAGAGGGTGTCCCTCTGGGCTTCTCCCTCTGTGAGGAGCCGCTTGCAAGACACTGGCCCACTGGAATGCTAGATTAAGATGCAGATTCCTGGGCCTCACTTCCTACTGAAATAAAAGATACAAGCTTCTAGGAAGGGGACTGTTGGAGCGGGGGACCTCCCCCAAGGAGACAGTCTCCTCCGCAGAGATTGTAGGGGGAGGGGGGCAACTCGGAAAGCTCTCTAGGCACTTTCTGAACTCACTGAAGTTTGAGAATATGAGTCTGCCATGGGATTCTCAGCGGGAGTGGGCACCACCAGGGGAGTGAGCTGGGGGCATCTTGCCAGTCCTTGCACAAGGCAGGAGGCTTTAAGGACACTAGAGACCCTCCCCTGAAGCTATCCCACCCACCACATGGAGCCCTGTCTCCCACTCTGTGTCTCCTTCTGTCTTAGGGGTGCCATAAACCGAAACCAGTTCCAGCCAATACAAGAGGAAGATGACATGGAGGTAACGGCGGACCGTATCACCTCATAGGGGGAGGTGGGAGGCCGGGGCAGGGGTCTTTGAGGCCCATCTTGTCTAAAGCCTGATAAGCCCCCACCCTGGACAATTATGGGACCGACCCTAGCACCAGACCAGGGTTGGCACACACAGGCACACCCATCCTCACCAGCTGCCCCCACTGCCTCCCTGCCCCAAGCAGGTCACTTGGAGGAGGCAAGTGTCAGGCAGGAAGTGAGCAGGACAGTGCGGGGGTGGGGCCGGGCAGAGAATGGGGGATGGGGAGAACCGCGGCGGTTGTGGGGTGGGGGAGCCAGGCTCAGCCTCAGCTTCCTGTTGAAACCTTTCAGCTGGAGGACGAATTGCTAGGGCCAGAGGTTCCCGAAGAAGAGGTCCCTCGAGTGGAGCCAGAACAGAAGCCCAAGCCCTTCCCACAGGCAGAGCCCAAGGCCAAACAGGAAGACCCCAAGCCCCAGGAGTACAGGGAAGAGTCCCCCCAACCCTACGGAGACGGGCTAGCAAAGCCAGGCATCAGACAGCTGAGCATGAGGTCCAACTCCAGCTACGTGAGTTCCGTGGACGAGGACTACCACTCCATCCACGTGCAGACCTCCAGGCACCTCTTCTGGGTAGACAGGCTCATCCAGGTGTCAGAACACAGCCTGCAACCAGTGATCAGCACGCAGCCCATCCAGAAGAGCACAGAAGAGCCCACCAGAGGCCCAGCCCAACAGACGGTCCCCAAGGACCCTGGGAGCTCCAAGAAGCAGAGCCAGGACCCCAGCGCCCAGCAAGGCCCTCGAGACAAAGCCTCCCAGAAGACTCCAAGCCCCGAGCCGTCCTTCGGCGTGCCCTCCATGGGCCTGGAAGAGCTGATCAATTTTGCATCAACCCTGGCCATGGCCTCCTCCAGCAGGAAGGACTTGCCCAGCTTGCGGCACATGATCAAGACCACACCCCAGAAGACCATGCCACCTCCCACAGAGCCCGCCGTGGATCACGCTGCCCAGCCCACCATGGATGAGCCAGAGCAGGAAAATCTCACAACGGATGAGAAGCCACCAGAGGAACCAAGAGAAGCCAGGGAACCTCAGGATGCCCCAAAGCAAGAAGATAAGGACGTCCCTCACCCTTACCTTGACCTCGGCAAGCCAGGGCTCAAGAGGGCCACCATTGAAGGGGAGCTGAAGTTTCTCCAGTCCCTGCCCAAGTCCCCTCAGCCAGAAGGAGCTGCAAAAGAGTAAGTGAGGCTGCCCCACGGCTCCCCCCGGGATGTGCAGATGGGCCCACTCCTCACACAGCCAAGTGGGGGATGGGGACAAAGGAATGAGGGGCTGGCTGAGTGATGTCTCCAGCTCAGTGACCTCATAAAGGCTGCTGGAAACAAAGTTCCGGTGGGCTGAGGTGCAGTGCCAAAGCCAGGGCTGACAGAGGCCTGGGCACCATGGAGGGTAAGCGCTCCAGGGTGGGGGCAGGGACTTGGGTTTGAAGCCGGAACTAGAATGCCATTCTAGCATTAGGAGGTTTCTCGCCACGAGTGTAGATGGCCTTACCCTCACTGGAAGCACTCAGGCTAGTGTCTTTCCTACTGAGAACCCCTAGGTCTCAGCCCTGGGCCCTGGATAGGACCAACGAGGCAGGACTGAGGACTCGGGGTTCTCCAGCACCCCGCGCTTCCTGGTGATGAATGAACGTGACAGGGGCCGTTGCCCATCCACATCACACAGCAGGAAGAGGCCGTCTGAGCCCCTGCACCCTCCTCAGAAAGGCCTCTGGGCTCACCCCTCCTTTGTCCTTCCCACCAGGGCCCATGTGACACTCTCTCTTTTGCGTTGCAGCTCGGTGCCGGGAACCATGAAAGGGAATCCATTATTCCTGAAAATCCATTTTAAGCTGTCGTCCCCCTCCTCCCCAGAGAAATGACTAGACAAAACCAGTAAAGCCTCCAGTGCTGGCTCCCTGGCTCAGACTTTTTTTGCAAACGCTCCTGGACCAGTGAGCTCCTCTGACTTCAGCATCCTGGTCTCCAATGCTTAGAGAAGCCACCCACACTTTTAGCCACCCCAGCACCCCCAGCCCACCGCGGGCTCCATCAGCCCTGTGTGGTCCCTGCTTACTCCCCCCGCACTGCGCCAGGCCTCTAGGACAGCATCAAAGAGTCGTGACTTGCCTTGGGGAGGCCTCACTTGTGCCCTGTCTGAGGCTTCTTAGATGTAAAAAGGAACATTCTGGGATCATCTGAGGTGAGAGCCTCCTGGAGGTGGGACTGGGCAGGCAAAAAGGCTTCTGGAAGGAGTTCTTCCCACTTCTCTCATGGTGAAGACCTGGCATGGCGAAGGGATGGTGTTCAGGGCTTGAAGGAGGGGAAGAATGAAGCCGAGGGACTGGTCCTCCAGGGGCCACTACCTCCACTCAGAGGTACCTCCAGTGTAGGGGAGAGTCCATGGGTCACGATGCACTTCTGCAGGCAGTCCACACACACACAACACACACACACACACACACACACCCCAGCTGCTGACCAGCACGTGACACAGACATGCATGTGACACAGCCACACGCAGGTCAAAAAAGCATGTTCCACACGTGCCACGCACACAGGCACACACATACACAGTGCCTGTGACCCAGATGCATGCACCCGGATGCATGAGCCTCTCCATGGTGGGGGAGGAGGGACAATGTGGGGAAGCTTCTGGAAGAGGAGATGGCAACAAGAGGGAAGAGAACTTGGAGTGTGGGGATGGACGTGGGTAGGAAGAGGGAAGTCAGGGAGAAAGAGAAGGGGAGACAGCACCGAGACTTGGGGCCTAATGAGACTTGAGACCTCCTCCGGACCAAGGCTCCCCTTCAAGTGAAAGCCCTACCTTGCAGATCCTTAGAACCCTGCCCTGCTTTGAGAAGGGGCTGAGGAGGGAGGTGCCCAGGGTCAGGGAGAATAGGATTAGGAAGGGGTGGGTTTCCCAGGTGGCACTGGTGGTAAAGAACCCACCTGCCAGTGCCAGAGACATGGGTTCAGTCTCTGGGTCAGGAAAATCCCCTGAAGGAGGGCATGGCAACCCACTCCAGTATTCTTGCCTGGAGAGTCTCCGTGGACAGAGGAGCCTGGCAGGCTACAGTCCATGGGGTCGCAAAGAGTCAGACATGACTGAAGTGACTAACGAAACACGCATGAGCACTCAGGAATAGGCCAGGGCCAGAGAAGGGGGCAGGTGGCTGGAAGGAGGGATGAAGAAGAGACGCAGAGGTGAGTGTCTGGGGAGGGGCTAGGCCAGCACTGGCATCTGGCTATTGGGACACATCTTCCCAGAAGAAGGGCTCCTTCCCCCACAGGGGACCTCGGGTAAGGTGAGCCACAGTCCCATCTTGGCTGGACCCCACTTTCCCATGCCTTGACCTGGGGCCTCTGGGGCCTGCTTCTCCCCTGCGCCTCAGCCTTCCTGTTAGCTTCTGGCATGGAGTCACAAAATTTAGATGCCTTAAGGGAGCAGAAACTCAAAAGACTAAAAGTGCAGTTTCCCCAGCAGAGAGGAGCGGGCCTGTGGTGAGGGTGGAGCGCACCCCTGCTGACAGTTGTTCAGATCCACACCAAACCCAGCCTGGGGGACTGCAGGCCTGGGGGACAGGCCCAGCCTCCAAGCGTGCAACTCTGCCTTTCAGGCAGCAGAGGGCGGAAGACCAAGCGATCACCGTCGGCAAAGAGAACATCCAGGTGACCAGGGCGGAGGTCACTCCTCCAAGCTAGTGCTTCCAGAATCCCCCCAGAGAGAGGGCTGTGGGAGCAGGCTGGCAGGGGGCCGATCCTGGGAGGTGAAGCTGTGCATCCACAGGTCTGGTCCCAGGTGCCCTGGAGTCCAAACACTCAAATGGGCTGGACCCCTCAGCCCTGTCTTCTCCTCACCTCCAAGGCCTGCACAGAAGCCTCAAAGACTGCTCACACAAGACCCAGGAGAGGAGCAGACTGGCAGAACCCAGAAGGGAAGGTTGCAGCAACGTGCCACCCTCCTGACCCAGAAGGAGCCAGCTGCTGCCTTGGCCACAGGGGCTAAGCAGGCTTCCCAGAGGACCAGACAGTTCAAGGGCCTTGAGGCCATCCACACAGTACAGTCAGACCCTCAGACCAGGTCTCAGAGGTGAGGGCAGGGACCAGGGCCAGGGCTGGGGTGCTGGGTCTGGGAAAAAGCCTGCCTGACTCTGGCATCACTCAGCAGTAGGTACAAAGACATTTCCACTCTCTTCCCCCTGCCAGAAGCAGCTTTGTAGACAAGAACCTGCTTCCCCTGACAGCACGGCAGCTGGCAGGTGAGGGCCTCAGGACTGGGAGAAGGGAGGAAGACTAGGGGGTGCTCAGAGTAGAAGAGGTTGGGGACACAGCAGAAGCCAGTGACTATATTGTAACCTCTGCATGCCAGTCTAATTTGCTCATTTCTGCAGTCCCAGGGATCATGGCTCTGTGCATGTGTGTGCATGTACGTGTATGTAAGTGAAGAAGGGAGGGAGGGGTTGTTAAATAGCAAGGTATGTGGATGGTGGATGGATAGATGGTAGATGGATGAACAGGATGAAAGGAAGAAGGGAAACTGGAAGAAACAATGGGAAAAAAGAATCTGAAGTCCCTGCCCCGCTGGGGTTCAGGGCTGTGGAAGTAGAGGTGGAAGGAACCACTTCTACATTTGGGGGCCCCAGTGTCCCTGCAAAGATCATGCTCTGATATTGCCGGGGTCCCTCAAAGCAGAATCATTCTATTCATCAATAGTTGTCAGTGCCTACTGCAGGCCAGGTTGCCAGCAGGGCTCCTGAAGCTATAGATTGGAGCTATAGAGCCAGACCACCCAAATCAAAAGCCCAGCATGGCCCCTATGGGTGGTGTGGCCTTGGATGTAGAGTTTTTAATGTTTTTTCATATGAGCATGTCCAAATATGAGTTTTGGACATGAGAACAGAACAGACACTTAACAGGTGCCAACACACAGCAACCACTGTTCTTAAAAGCCTTAAGTTTTAATGCCCAGGGTGAACCCAGGTCTTCAGTCTCATCTGAGCTAGAGTGGGTGAATCTCAGGGTTCCTGTGCATGGGTTCACCTTGCCCGCCTGCCTCCTCCCACCCCCAGCATTCCAGGATGTCTTCAAACTGTTCAGCTCCAGCCCAACAGGCTCCGTGGACATGCGCAGTATGAAAACTGCCCTGTGCAATATGGGTGTCCAGCTGAGCCCTCAGGAGATGTGTGAGGCTCTGCGGCAGGCGGACTTGGATGGTGGGTGACTCTGACCCTACCCTCATGACCGCTCCACCTCTAGCCTTGAAGAATGCCTCCACTGCCCACAAAATCCCCGGTCTGATCCTTTTCTTAAGTTCCTTCTTCCCAGAAGCCTGCCCTGATCACCACACCTAGCCCCTCATCCCTAAACATTTCTGTCGTGATAATCCTCATCCTGACTTGGGGCTCCCACACAGCAAGGGCTATTTCTCCCTGACTTGACCTCAGAAAATGCTTGGCCAGAGGCAGGACTGGACATTCTGATGCCTAGAACTGCTAGCAAGCCTTCTATAGGGGGGCAGGCACTTACAGCACACACCCCCCCTCTCTCTCTTCCCAGGTGATGGAACCGTAAGCTTCAAAGACTTCCTGGGTGTCCTCACTGACAGCCACCGCCTGGCTCAGTGCTTGGGTGAGGGGCAAGGCTGGCGGGGCAGGAGTGGGAGGGCCTGGCCTGGGGAAGGCTCCTCCTTACCTTCCCCCATGTTCTCTGCCCCTAGGCAAGGTGAGGAACAGCTGGGCCTGTGACCCTCAGGGCTTGCAAACCCTCTTCTTGGAGATGCTGTTCAAGCTGATGAGTCTGGGCTATGTGCCCTTCAAGTCGGCACGGGAGGTGATGAGGTGGGCACAAGTGGACCCAGCTTCAAGGCCCAAGATAGGGGGAGCAGACTGCCCCGTTCAGGAGTCCCCAGATGTCCCTGCCCCCGAGAGGAGAGCCTGAATTCTGGGTCCGTTCCCCGGGTGCCAAATTGCCCCCAATCAGACAAGTTGTCCCCGATCAGATTCCTGTTCCACTTTGGTTTCCCCACGGGTGAGATGGAGAGGACTGGGGAGACGCTGTCTGATACGGCTACCCAGTTTTCTCCTTCAAGCTACTACTCCAAGAAGCAGCGGTCTCTGCGGCTGAACGCAAGCCGGAAAGGTCGGTCCCGCAGCCACGGCCGCAGCGGGCGCTCTCACGCTGGCCTCGCGTTCTTCTGCCAGGCCGCGCGCCTAATCGGCCTCTCCAACGCCGAGCTGGCGCGTTCGCTGCACGGACTGCACAAAGCGGGTGCGCCCGGGGCTGGGCGGGGACCCGCGGAACTGGGGACCCTCTCACAACCGGCTTTCAGGAAGGACCCCCTCCTCTTCCTCCTACCCGCTTCCTCGCCCCAGGAGCGTGCAGTCCCTACTCCCAGATACCTAGCCTGAACGGGCGGTCGCAGCCGGAATCCCTCACGCAGAGGCGAACTCCGCGCCCCGACGTCCGACGTCCCAAGTCGTTCCAGCCCAGTCGCCCCAAGCACAGGCCCAAGAGCGGACGACTCAGCCAAGGTGAAAGTCGACGTAGGCAGAGCCAGCGGGCGGAGCCGGGTTACGTAGATAAGGGTGTGGGTGGGCGGGAACGAGAGGATAGGGGCGGGGCAGACAGAGCCGGGACGATAGATAAATGGGACAGACCGGCGGGGAAAGGAGGGACGGGCAGAGTGGAAGCAGAACTACAAGAAATTGGGACCTGATTCGGGGAGATGCAATAAGAGATCACTCTTATTGCCATCTTCTGTTTGACCACTTCCAATTTACCTTGATTCACGGACCTAACATTGCAGGTTCCTATGCAATATTGTTCTTTATAGCACGACTAAGGATCGATTAAGGATAGGGCGGGGCATAAGAAAAATAGGCGGGGGGCCCAGGTAGGAGGCAGGACTGGTGGAAATGGGGTGGAGCCCGCAGAAACAGGGACTCAGGTGGAGCTAACCCTGCGTCTCTAATCTGAGCCGCAAGCTTGACCCTCCGTACGCCCCCTCCGCGCTTCCGCAGGGTTCGCGGACCAGTTACTAGGGTGTATGTGCCCTTCGAAACTGGCTCCGTGCCCCCAAACTCTGATACAGAAGCAGCCCTTCTCCCCCTCACCGGCCTATTTGCAGAGACCTGCTACGAAGAAATTGTACAAGTAAAGTGTTTGCTGAGCGAAACAGGCTGCTCTTAGTGGGGGCGGGCAAGGAGCGGACGCGGATCTTTTGCAAACGTCTTTATTAATCTTGTATAAAAATAAGGTCCATGGGGAGTCCTCGGAGCTGGGTCGGGGTATGGGGAGTGGAGGGGCGCGAGGTTACCCTTTACATAAGTTACAGGCCGGGCTCCCACTGAGGCTAAGTATGGCTGTTGGGGGAAGAGGGATGCTGCAAGCAGCATTTGGGGGGAGGGGCCAGAGATGCCTCCCCCTGTGGCAAGATGAGGGGTGACCCTGACCATTCGAGGGGCGCCCAGGGGTGGGGATCTTGGTGGAGGAGGCTGCCCGGCCCAGCCGAGCTGAGTCCCACCTTCCTTGAGTCCCGGATTGCCCCTCCCCGCCACCCCTACCCGCTCCCAGGCCTCGCAGTCCATCTGCAGAAATCATGACTACAGCGAGAGGTCGGAGGTGACCTGCAGCGGGGGTCCGGGCGGGCGCCGACGAGCGCTACGCCGGCCTGTATCTGCGCGGATGTAAGGCTGGTTCCGTAGATCTGGCGGAGGAGAGGAGAGACCTTTACTTTTCCAGGGGTCTGCCCAGAGTTGGGACACCATGCCAGGGCACAGGCCTCACCCCTCCAGGTTGTGCGCAAGTGGGAGGGAGCCTGTTTGTTTACCAGACCTCCATCCAACACACCCCAGCCCCGTGCCTGGCCCAGGGGGGCGCAGCACGACTCAGACCCCCCAGGAGCCCGCAGGGCTGTGAGTCAGCCATTGGGATCTGAGGCCGGGCTGGTGGGTACCTGGGGGCTAGAGGGGGATTTCCTCTCCCAGGCTGGCCTCATAGAGGAGCCTGGACGTCCTCTTGCCGGTGCGAGCAGTGAAGGGCACCGTCTTGAGCACTGAGGGTTGGAAGGAAGCAGCCAGGAGAGAAAGGAAAAAGGGAAAAAGACAGAAAAAGTAGCAAAGAGGCAGTGAGGCAGACAGATCCCAACCCCCCCAGGGTTGGGGGGTGGATGGAAGACAGCGTAGGACAGATCGAGGACAGGACAGCCCCTGCCAAGCCCCCACCTGTGATGATATCTTCAATGGCCCCATCACGATCACTCTCATAGATGAGTGGCTCTTTCTGCTGCTTCCGCTTCAGCTCAGAGATGAGGTCCATCTGTTGCCGCCGGACCTTGGGAGGGGACTGGGGGGAGGGCAAGGGTATATAACTCCAGCTCCAGGATCCCCTGCCCTCCTGTGCCACTAAACCCTAGACCACCTGCCTGGTCCCCCACAATAAGAATAGCCGGCAGGAGGAAAAGGAACCCATTCCCCACCACAGGCTACAGAGGCATCCTGGCCTTGGGCAGGGTCAGTCCATAAAAACGAGGGTGTGGAGGAGGACCAGATCTCTGGGATGAAGATACCGAGCATCAGCTTCGCTAGATCCCAGTACCAAGTTCAGCAATAGTTGCCTACCTTGGGTGCTTGGGGCTCCCCTTTCCCCGCGATGTCGGTGCCTGCCTCCTGGGCAGCTGCTTCTTTCTTCCACTGTTCCACCTCCTGCTCGGCTTTCTGAGGAGCCAAGGTGGGTCTGCATGAGGGGAGTCATCCCTTCCCTAGTCCACTTCCAGCAGAAGTAGCCCCCACCCCTCCCACTGCCCACGTGGAGAGGCTGCAATGCCCCGCATGGGTCTCAGCCTGCCCATCAAACAAACATACCTTATAGGCTTTGATGAAGCGACTAAAGAGGGAGAAGAACATGGAGGGGGATGTGGTCTTGGGGTTCTCTCCGAAGTACTCCACCACAGACTCGTAGGCTTCCTGTGGGCACAGGCTGTCAGCCCCACCAGCCCAGACCCCTCGGGTCCTGACTACTGCTCTGTACCCGCTAAGACACTGGCCACTTCATCTCTCCTCCTCTAGGCAGGTGGCTGCTCCCTCCTGCCCCATCCCCTAAGGCATTCTTGCTGGGTCACAGGGCTCCAGGCCTTGGCTACACAACCCTACCTAGGTGGTCCTTTGCCCCCACCCCAGCCTCCCTGCCTCCCTGGCTGGGGCCAGCCCCAGCCCACCTGAGCTGTCTTGCTGTCTGCCAGCAGTTTATCCATGACTGGTGAGTTGATCCTCAGGAACTCCTTGAGCACCACACAGTCATCCTGCCTCACAAACTCCCGCTGGGTCAACTCCAGGCCTCGCTGCAGGGAGCGGACATCCCCCAGCACGCTGTCCAGGGACACTGAGTGGGACAGTAGAGAAGCAAAGAATCAGAGAGGCAGCATTCCCATCCCATGACATTCTGAGCTCCCCCGGCTCTCTCCCAACCTGTATCCGCCCCCAGGGCTGAGCCCCGCCCCCCACCCATACCTGAGCCGGCCTTGTCCAGAAAGTGGAGGTCACTGTGGAAACCTGTGAGCTGTGGGTACTTTTCAGCAATGACCTTCACCAGGTAATGCAGCAGCGTCTGCTTGCGGTCCGTCGACTTCATCTCCAACAGCTGCAATGAGGACCTGCTGTAAGCCACATGCCCCCAGCCATCCCCCATCCCGAAGGTCAGGGGGGCCCCTCCTTCCCCCCCCCCCTCTTTACCGCATCCAGACTCTGGAGCCGGAAGCCATAGGCTGCTCCACGCTTGCTACTGTTCATGTAGTTGCCAAAAGCCAGGACAATCTGCAAGAGGTGGGACAGGTGGGTGGTGGGGAGCTCAGTCGGGTGCCGGGGCTGAGGAAACCCCCTAAAGTATAAATTACACAAGAAGACAAGGTGGCCAGGAACAAGCCCTACACTCAGCAGCCACCACACTCCTGCATGGATGCCTCGGGTCCGTGACGCACGTATACACGTGTTTAACACAAGCGCATAGCTAGCAGCATAGCACACGCAGTTTGGTCATCTGCTGTGCTATGCTTGCTCACTCAGTCATGTCTGACTCTTTTCAACCCCATGGACTATAGCCCCCCAGGCTTCTCTGCCCATGGAATTTTCCCAGGCAAGAACACTGGAGCGGGTTGCCATTTCCTGCTCCAGGGGATCTTCCTGACTCAGGGATCAAACCCACGTCTCTTGCGTTTCCTGCATTGGCAGGCAGATTCTTTACCACGTAGCCATCTATTCCTACTCAAGTCTGTGCTGCCCACACCTCTTCTGAGGCTGTGGGGTCAATACCCCTCTCAGTCATTTCTATTGGTTCTCAGACAATAGAAGGCTCTGCTAATGAACCCTCAGGCAGGGTGTGAGATGGGCTGTTGGAATGTGGCCCCCAACCCCACCTTAGCATTGTCGTCCTGAGCCTGGACACAACACCACCAAAAACTATGTAAACACCACCAACAACAAAATCAACAAACAAAGCTACTGTGACTGCCACCACCACCAAAAGTGAGAAGTGAGAACCTTACAGTGGGTGCAGCCCAGGGTCACAGGGCAGGGCCTGGGTCTCCCTCTCACACAACCCAGAACACATAAGCCATCATGGGTGGTCTCTGCCTCCTAGACCCTTGCCCTAGGGTCTCACCTCCAGGATCTGGCGGAGTTTGTCCGAGGACTTGATAGACATTGAGGCTGCAATGATGGCATTCAGTTGCTGGGGGCGGGATGGGGAAGGCATGGTAAGTAGGGGCAGGAGTGAGGGGGAAGCCGGTAGGAGGCTCCAGAACTCTCAGATGCCCTCTTGGAGACCAAGCTGCCAGCTGCCTCCTCCCCCATCCCAGCCCAGGCCACACCACCCTGCCAGCCCGCGCACACCGGCATGAGCATCTGGGCAGTATCTGGGAAGTTGCCCAGGAAGGTGAGCGTGTTCATGCGTTCGGGCAGGCGGGGGATGCGGCTGAAGCGCAGCATGAAGCGGTCCTCCTCTGACAGCTCCTCTATTGGTCGCTGCTCCCGCTCGAAACGGGTGATGAGGCTGCGCTCATACTCTGTGGGCAGGAAGCGGGTCAGCAGCTCCAGGAAGTCCAGGCCAAGGGTCTGCAGGTCATACCTGTGAGGGATGGGTCGGCATCACTCCACACCACCAGTTCTTGAGAGCAGGACTACCCCTACCCCATCACTTGATCGAATAAATGAACTCAAATATTTGCTGTTACCAACAGCTTAAGAGAATTAGAGATAAGAGTCAGAGGAAGATGGAAGCTAGGAAGCCCGGAATCCCAGATACCCAAGCTGTAAGTGCCTGAGCTGAGTGCAAGGAAGCAAGAAAACAAAAGGAACATCTCCACCTGGGCATGGAATCACAGCATGACCTCAGTTTTCTTAACCTGAAAATGGGAACAGTTTCCTCCTCTACCCTCTGACCAGCATTGGTATGAACTTGATGGATTCTGTCCCATAGCTGGGACTCTCTTACTAGGATCTGCCCAACAACCCCGTCCTAGCAGAGGGGCTGGGCTTCCCACAAGCACAGGGCAGAGGTACTCACGTCTCGATTGCCTGGCAGATGCGATCTGCCCCCAGGTTGCCCTTGCGCAGGGTGATGGCCAGGTTCTTGGCCCGGTTGGCCTCGATGAGCGTGGCTTTGCTGGGGGCCTTCTGGGCTGCTTTACTCTTGAGAGCACTAAGGTCTATGCTGGGACCTTGGGACTTAGTCTTGAACTGCTCCTCGAAGTCACTCATGTCCAGCTCCTGGGGATGCAGGGAGAGGAGGTGGCGCTGGGCGGGGCTGGGGTCTGGTGTGATCCTGGCTGAACACTGTGCTCTGTGCTAGAGCCATCTACCCAGCCCTGACCAAACCATCAGCAGAGAAACAAACCAGTCAGTACTCAACCTGAACACAGGCCTTGATGGGGGAAATGAGGGAAGCAGATGAAGCAAGAGCAGCACCCCACCCAGGGGACCTAGACTCCAAGCCGTTTCAGCTGAAGGAAGAGCTCAACTCGCCAGGGTTGAAAAGAGAAAAAGGACATTCCAGGCAGAGGGACAGCATGAGCAACGGCCTGGATGCAACAGAACACATCCCTTTTAGGAAACTGAAAATGAGGCCCTGGGTGTCTGTGGAAAGGTGGTGAGCGAGGGGCCTGAGAGGAGAGAGGGGCCAGGCTTAGGGGAGGTTGAGCCCCTCTACAGGGACGGAGGGAAAGACTCCGGGGGAATAAGGATACACTGCCTACTAGAAGCACTAAACCAGTTTGGTTTAACCCCCATTCCTGGGCCTCCATGCCCTCCTCTGTAAAGTGGGTAGAGGAAGTGACCACCCCCCATGCCCAGCATGACCCAGGCAGTCCTCTCCTCCTTCAGTGCCCACACCGGCAGCAAGGCAGAGCCACACTCACCTGTAGCACCTTCTCATCATTGAGTTCAGTGAAGACAGTGCCTGTGATCTGGTTGGGTTTCAGGGCTACCCAGTTTAAGAGTGGCATTCTGAACTTGGTCTGGATGGGTTTCTTGGCCTTCACTCCTGAGACAGAGGGAGTGGGCACTGGGGCAGTAGGTGGTGGGATGGCTGGAAGGAGCCCCACCCGGGCCCAACGAGGGCAGACAAGGCAAGCTGGAGGCCACAGGAGGCCCACCGACATAAGGTTCTGGAGGGCAGTGAAGCCAGAGGCGCCCCCCCGGCCCCCATCCTCCCTTCCCTTGCCCCTCTGCCCTGGGCAATCCACTCACCTGGGCCCATCTCTGAGCCAGGCCCTGCTTGAGCATCAGAGGGACCTCCCGGAGGCGGCGGGGGCGGCGGAGGAATGGAGGGGGCGGTGGCGGTACCGCTCCAGGAGCCGGCTCTGCTACAGGTGGGAGCTCCGAGGCTAGAACCGGCGAAGGGGCGGGAAGAAGGAGGTATCAATTTCCCCTCCCCGCCCTGCGCATGCGCACTGGGCCCATCGCGGCCCATCTGCACCTGAGCCACGCCCGCTACCAAAACCTACCTCTTCCACCTCTCCCGGCCTGAGACGTCCCCAGGCTCCCCCTGTACCCCGCCCCCATTCCTACCCGCCTCCCCCGCCAGCCTGGAGCTCTTGCACACCTGAGCTGGGGGAGCCGGTGGGAGCCCCGGGAGTCGGGGCTTCACTGCCGCTCGGAATCGCCACAGCGACCGGGAGAATCTCGATGGAGACCTCGTCCCCGGGCCCCCTCAGGATACGGATTAACCCCTTCTCCTCCATCTCCTCCACCTTCAGCTCTAGGGCCGACGGCCGCGCCGGGGCAAGGGCAGGCACTTTCTCGGGCTCAGAGGAACGTCTGGAGGTGCCCATAGGGGTCGACTCGCTGAAGCGCTCCTGCGAGCCCCGGGGGAGGGGTTAAGAACCACGGGCAAGCCTGGCACGGAGCCCCCATTCTCTTGCCGGGGTGGAGGGACGTGTCAAGCCTAGAAGCCCCCAGATGGTCTGTTCTTGGGAGCCCGGGCCACCCCTTGTTCCCGCCCAACCCACTTCCCCGCAACCTCACCCGCAGGGTCTCCGACTCCTTTCGGGCCTGGCTTAGCTGCTTCTCCAGCTCCGCGATCTTGGCCATGGACTCGTTCTCCGCGTCCCGAAGCCGCTCTGTGAGCTGTGGCACCAGCAAATGGTGAGCTCCCACCCGCAGCCGGGCATTGGCAAGGCCGCGGAGGGGGTGGCACCAGACGTGCCTGCCTGGAGGGCTGGGGGAGGCTTCCGGATGTGCTTAGCCCTGGGGGAGCCTGGCACTTGAACCCAAGTAGGGGCAGTCCTGAGAGCACTAAAGTTCTCTCAGGAGGGGGAACCACGACACCACTGATGAAGGAGGGAGATGGAGAGGAGACTGGGCTGGCAGGGGGCCCCGGGCACCCATCTCCACCCAAATCAGGCCTGGTGTCTGAGCCCCTGGAGGAGAGGGGACCTGCCTTCCTCAGAGGTCCAGCCCAGGGGAGCATCTCAATGAACATTCATTGAGAGAGACACCCAAAGGATTCAGGTCAAACTCAGGGGGCCCCCCACGCACACCGAGAAAGGGTGCCTGATATCAGCGTAGGGGGCTCTGCGGGCCTGCTCTCTGCCGGCTCGGGGGCAGCTCTCACCAAGGCCACCTGCTCCTGCAGCTCCTCCATGTGCTCCAGCACAGCATTCTTGGTCTCAGTGTCCTCCAGCAGCGCGCCCACGTCAAAGATGTTGTCCAGGTAGGCCTGAATCTGCACCTGCAGCTTGTCGCTCTCCGTGAGCCGGAGCCTCTGTCCCCCCGACGGAAGGTGCAGGGTAAGGCCTGGGGTGAGGGATCTTTCCAATACCACCCCCATCACCACCAGAGCCAAGACAAAGGGGCCTGAGACATAGCCCACTTTTGGGTTGGGGTTTTTTTTTTGAGATATAATTTATATACCATAAAATTCACTCTTTTAAAGTGTACAATTCAGTAATTTTTAGTATATTCACAAGGTTGTGCAAACGTTCACCACTACCTAATTCCAGAATATCACCCCCAAAAGAAACCCTGTCCCCATTAGCAACCACTCCCCCATCCTCTCCTCTTCTAGCCCCTGGCAACCACCAATCTTTCTATCTCTACTGGACTTACCTAGACAGACATTTCATTTTAGGGAATCATACAATATATGGCTTTTGTGTCTGGCTTCTTTCACTGAGCATAATAGCATAAAGTTTTCAAGGCCCATCCCTATTGTACCATGTATCAGTACTTTGTTCTTTTTTGTGGCTGAATAATATTCCATGGAATGGACATATCACCCTAGCCTGCTTTTCACTTTTTGTTGATTCTGGGTTTCAAAAATCCAGTCCCAAAGGCCCTGCTCATCTTGGGAAGCCTCACAAAGAAATCAGAGGAAAGCTACAGTTTGTCTGCTCAGGCCGAACCAGGAAGTACCAAGCCCCTCTGCCCACCTTCCCCAGAGCAAGGAACTCTCCCATGACCCAGACCCATACAGCAAGAGCCAGTTCCTGCTTTGGCTCAGAATCTCTGTGCTCCCCATTGTGTCAGGGCGTCCCAGAGCCTGTTCTGGAGCTTACAACGGCTCTGTGGTCTGGGTGCCTATTTTGCAGCAGGCACCTCTCTACACATTTATAGTCTTTATTATTTCTGTGGTTCTCCTATTTTATAGATGCTAACCACTGAGGCATAATCTGCAGCAGGCAAGTGGTTAAGTCCCAGGGTTGGGGTTGGGGTGGGGGTTGCAGAGCTAACCTCCAAGTACAGGTCCAGGCCCAGGTGAGTGAACTCATATTGCAGGAAGACACGGAAGTTCATGTTCTCCACTGAATGTACCACAATGTTGATGAATTGCATGCAGGCCACCTGCGGGGGTGGGGGGTGGGAGGGGGCAGTGAGCAGGTCTATGATCCTCTTGGCGGGGGGTTCTCAGTAACTTCCACCCCCTAGTTTATCCCCAAGTCCCCCACCCTTGCTCTATTTCTCACCCCACTAACCAGGCTGTGTCCCATACATATTTTCCCCCACATCCCTTTCTCCCAGCCTCCCTCCTGCTGACATCCACCCCTCCTCCACCAACCACTCAGTCCTCATACTTGGCAAGAGCTTAGCCCAGATCCCAGATATCAGGCTCCTAGTTGCTCCTGGCACCCGAGGGTAGCCCAGCCCAGGCCTGAGCTCACCATGAAGTCGATGTTGCTGTCCTCGTTCCGGAAATATTCCATTAGCTTTTCAAAGCGGTGCTGCTCTCCACATACCTGGGTGGGAGGAATGCTGTCACTGAGGTCCCAGTGACGTACCACCTAAGCCGTCTTCCAGCTGCCCACCCCCTTAGGCCTCTATGGGCTCCTCTCAGATTAAATCTAAGTCAGGCCACATCATTCTCCTGCTCAAAACCTCTCGTCCCTCTTGATCTCTCACAGCCCTCCCCAACACTGACTCCATTCTGGCCACTCTGGCATCCTAGTACATTCCTACCTCAGGGCCTTTGCACTTGCTATTCCATTTGCCTGAGGAGCTCTTACTGAAGACAGCCACCACACCAATCCCTCACTCCCCTCCCAGCTTTGCTCACATCTCGTCTTCTCCATGAGGCTTCCCTGACTACCCAGCAACCTCCCAGTTCCCCCTCCCTCTACAGCCTCCCTGGCCTTTTTTCCCCAGAATATTTATCATTCTCTGACACCATGTAATCTGCTTATTTATCGTATCACTGATGATCTGTCTTCCCCTGCCTCCTTTGTTTCTCTTGTTCACTAATGTATCCCAACTGCCCACTCAACTGCCCACTCTGTGCCTGACACATAGCGGGCCCTCGATAAATATCCATTCAAGGAATGCATGACCGTATGCTGCCTTATGCATCACACTCTCATGCAGTTACTTCTGGTTAACTAGCCTGTTAACCAGAGTCAGTGACTCTGAGATGTATGGATCAAGGCCAGTTTGGATCTGGCAACTGAAGGTCAGAGGTTCAGCAAGTCCCCGTAGTTGTCCCTGTCACCCCAGACAGTGCCCCCGTGTGACCCTGTACCTTCCCTTTAGATGAGGAAACCACCCCCCCAAATGCCTACCCAGCATCTCTAGCTGCCCCCAGCAGAGGCACACCTACCAGCAATAGGGCTCCAAGCAAGTACATGTTAGGTGGGGGCTCCATTACCTCCTTGAAGTTGTCAAAGGCAGAAAGGATGATATCGTGTCCTCCCCGCACCAGACAAACAGCCGCCAGCAGCTCCAACACCAGGGCCTTGGTTCTGGGGAGAGAAGAGGCAGGTGGTCCCTGGAGAACAGGCAGGCCCCATGGCAAAGGTGGACTTGGGCCTGGCTAGAGAGGAGGACAGGGAAGCTGATGGGCAGTGGTCCTGAGAACTGGGGGACTGAGTAGGCAAGGGGTTAAATAGGAGGAGAATCTAGACACGGAGAAAGATTAGGGCCGGACCTCACCTGGGGTTCTTGTTGTTGAGACTCAGAGCAATCTCATTGACACAGGCTGGGTGGTTCATGACGAGGCTGAAGCCGGACTAGGAAGAAAGGAGAGGTCAGCTCCTCTGGGCAGACCCCAGGACTGCACCCTCCGGTCCCGTACCTCCAGCATGGTGAGTGCCATGCCATTCGGGTATCTAAGTGCCTTAGGAAGTTGGGTTTTTTTTTGGCCAGGTGGTTTGTAGGATCTTGGTTTCCTGACCAGGGATGGAACCTGGGGCCCCAGAACTAAGAGCACGGATTCCTAACCACTGGACCATCAGGGAATTCCCAGGAAGTTCTTTATATCCAACCACAACCTCTTCAGTGGCAGCCAAAGCCTGCCCCTTTTTAAAAATACCTTTGTCTGTTCAAAAACCAGTGTTAAGACTCAGCATCTTGGACACAATGAGTCCTGAGAGGCCCGCTGAGTGAAGAAGGACTGGGTTCACCAATCACCCCTCCAAACAAAATAACCCAGAGGCTGCTCTCCTGTGGATGTCTGGCCTTTCTTGATGGGGGTGCCTATGGCCCCATGTAAGGTATGTCCACACCCCTAGCCATGTCCAGGGTATTCTAGGTGACCTGGCTAGGAGGGGACAGAAATCTGTGCTTCTCCTCTTAAGACTCAAGCTAACAGCCCGTCCCCAGGATTCCACCAGGGACAGGGTGGGGGACAGTTGGTCCCAGAACCCCAGCAGTTTAGGCAGTCCCCAGGGAGGAGAGTCAGTGCCCAGGCCCCAGGCCCGCTGGCCAACCTGGTAGTTCATGATGGCACGCAGACACATGATGCAGACGTGGACGTCGTCCTTCTGGCTGACGATGCGGGAATTCCTCAGGGCCTTCTTGCTGTGGGCCGGGGTCAACCTGGATGGGTGGGGAGGAGGCAGCAAGGATCAGAATCCCAAACCCTTCCTGTTCCCCCCACCACTCAGATGGCTTCCTGCCCACCCAACCAAAGAGGCCGGCTGAAGGCAGGAAGTCCTCCTCAGTCCTTAGGTCTGGCGCTTGGTATTTTGTGGGGATTTTAAGGGGGGTGTCAGGGAAGTAGACCCCTAACAGTGACCTGGTGGCATTAAAAAGAGTTGCTGTATCATGGGGACTTAATATATGGAGAGCCTATAGAAGGCAGAGACCTCCAAAGCTTGTAAACTGCAATGAAAATGATCTCCACAAGGTGGCGCTCATGGCCACATGGGTTTATCTTCCATCTTGCGAATTCAGACTGCCTTGGGTCAAATTGCAGCTCAGGGTTTGCAAGGTAAATTACTTAACCTCCTTGGGCCTGTTTCCTCTTTTGTAAAATAATAATGGTAATAACAGCACCTTCCTGATAAAGTTGTTGGGACTATGAAATGAGTTTAGAACAGTGCCTGGCACAAAGTAAGTGCTATATGAGTGTGCTCACTGATTCTTTGATAAAAGATAGGTGATTTTTTTTCCCCCTTGTCAGAACCACCAAACTTCCACATCAGGTCCTCAAGACAGTTCTATCCCATCTCCAACATCAGTGGGAGACACCACTCCTCCCTCTGCCTGCCGCATTCCCATCATTGCTCAAATGACTCTGAGTCTTTGCTCATGCTATTCCTTCTGCCTGGAATGCCCTTCCCCATGCCCACCACTGCCTGTAAAGCCTGCAAGACACAGTTCCAGTGTCATCGCTTCTGGGATGCCTTCCTCATGGCCCAGGCAGTGGCCACTTCCCTACTTGGAGCTCACAGTCATACCTCCATGACAGCCGGTCACACACTGTCCCCTCCTAGATGGAAGACTCCCAAGGGCAGTGTCATCTGTCACCTGAGCACCTACCAGCATGCCTGGCACATAGTAAATGCTAAAAAATGTTTGTTGAATGAATGAATGAACAAAGAAATGGGGGAGGGCTTCCCTAGAGGCTCAGTGGTAAAGAATCTGCCTGCCAATGCAAGAGACAAAGGAGACTCGAGTTTGATCTCTGGTCTGGGAAGATCCCACGTGCTGTGGAGCAACTAAGCCAGAGTGCCACAACTACTGAACCTGTGCTCTAGAGCCCACGAGTCACAACTACTGAGCCCAAGCACCCCAGAGTCCGTGCTCTGCAACAAGAGAAGCCCACACTGCAGTGAAGAACAGCCCCTGCTCTCATCAACTAGAGAAGAGCCCACGCAGCAACAAAGACCCAGCACAGCCAAAATAAATAAATAAAAACTATTAAAAAATGGGGAGCAGGGGTGGACTTCCTTGCTGGTCCAGTGGTTGAGACTCTGTGTTCCTAATGCAAGGGACCCGGGTTCAACTCCTGGTCGGGGAACTAGATCCCACATGCTATAACTAAGACCTGCCACAGTCAAATAAATAAAAATTTTAAAAAGAAGAAGAAAGAAAGAAATATATTGTGAGAGTTTGGGTTTTAAGATGAAGTTGGTTTCCTGTCCCAGAGACGGAAGGGAGGCACCCAGGGTCCACACGAGGGTTCAGGGCCATCTCCCCTCTCCTGCCCTCCCAGCTGGATGTCTTAAGTTAGGGTAGGCCGACATATCCGAAGCAGCTGAATCCAGGGGTGTCACCTGAATTGAACACCTCACCCAATCCCACCACCACCCTGGGAGCTGACCAGGCATGCACCAGCCCCTAGGCAGCTACGTACCGGGGAGAAGGGGGGCACCTGGAGGCCGCGTGGGAGAAAACAGGGGGTTAGATGAGTACAAGAGGGGTCCCCCTGACCCAGAAACTCCCTCCTTATCCCAGACCCCCCTCAAATTCCAGCCTCTAAGTGCTCACCCCAAAGGCTTCTTAACACACCCATCTCCTGAGCCCTGTGTGAGGCCCTTACACTGATCCCCGATGCCAGGCAGCCCTCCCACCACCCACAGGGCCCAGGTGGAGCAGGCTGAGTACAGCGGTCAGGGGTGAAATCTCCATTCACCCCGCCCCTGCCACCCCAACCGAGGGGGCCCCACATACTTGATGGTCAGGTGGCGACTCTTGGTTGGGGGCGGCAAGGATGAGGGCGGGCCCTTGCTCAGATCTTCCACTGACTGCTCCAGCGGCTTGCTCTTCTCGGAGCCCGGGGCCCCGTTGTCTGTGGCATCCATATTGTACCTGCGGGGGTTAGACTGTGGATGGAGGCCAGCCCAGCAGGGCCCTTAAGAGAGGGGTGCGGGGCACCGGGGGAGACTGCAGGAGAGGCTCGGGGCAGGAGGAGCAACAGCGTGTGTTCTTGATGCAGGACTGGCCCTAGTAGGTCCCAGCTGGCCAGCACAGGCCCCATCCCTCCCCGTCCACAGCGGGCCTTCAGGAAGGGGCCTCGCTCGGGGTCCACTGCAGGGCTGCAGATTGGGCCCAGGGTGCGCCGTCTGGAAGTGGCCAAGGAGTGGGCGAGCGGCAGGAAGGTGTGGACTCTGAGGGGTGGCCTGAGGGCAGGGCCAGCTTACGCCACGGAGCACTGTGCGAAGGCCAGGTACTCAAGCAGCACGTCCAGGCCACGGTTCTCCTCGTTCAGGAACTCCTGCACCCATCTGCAAGACACAGGGCTCCCTGAGCATCGGCCAGGAGGGGGTGCCGACCCGAGTGGGCACAGCAAGGGGCCCCAGGGCCCTCCCCCCAGAAGACAGCAACCAGCCCCCGCCTCAGAAGACCTGGTGATGCCACGGGAGGATGCTAGGACTTGGGCAGGACCCACAGCCCAGCCACAGCTCAAGGGACCAGTGAAAGTTGGGCAGGAAAGGAGGCAGGGAAGCTATTCTGGACCCCCATCCTGGAGGAGGGCCCACAGGCACAGCCTGGAGTGGGCATGGGGAGGATAGTAAGGGGCCCCCAGGGGCTCCCTGCTGGCAGAGCTCTCTCCCTCCCCCATCCTCCCCACGGAAATCCAAGCCCTCACTCACCCAATGTGGTTGGTCCTCAGAGAGATCTCCAATTCCCGGAGCACCTGCGTGGACTCCTGAACTCGCCTCTTAAACTAGGAGCCAAAAACAGGGGGAGTCTGGTGGCTGGGGCCCGGGGCCTCAGCCAACAGGGCCTGCCCGCCCCCCACAACTGACCTTTCACGCTCAGCCGCCCCCACCACCTCCACACAACTGCCTGGCAGAATAAGCATTATCAGGCCACACGTACTCCCCCTACACAAACACACAGGGTGTACGCCACACGGCCATGTGCAGACACAGAAGAGGCACACCAATGCCTCCTTACATGCACACACACATACATGAGGACAAAGGATATGCACACATTCAAACATGAACACCCTGGGTACCCACACACATGTGCACATCCATAGACAAGTATAGGGGGTACACAGACATAAGATACAAATCCACGTACAGACACACGGGGTACACACACACACACACACACACACACCTGTTTAAGGACTCGATACACATACATCCATATGTGGACACAGAAGGGCACACATAATACACACACACATCCATGCCTGCGCACATAGTGTGCCCACGTGTATGTATACACTACACAAATACATACAAGTGTACACATCAGAGCACAAACGGGAGCTGCAGAGGAACCCATAAAAGTGCACACCCAGGGCACTTGCAGTCCCCTGTATATACACCCTCATCCGTGTGCCCACACAGGCCTGCAGAAGAGTTCACACGCACAGTTCCTCCAGCTGCCCCAGTGCTTGCAAAATGTGGGGGAAGGGACAGAGAGGAAGAGGGGGACAAATACCCCGAGGTTGGGCATCCAGTCTGCTGCTACTTTTCGGCTGGCCCCACCGGTTTCTAGGTAGCTCTTCAGCTTCTGGATATAGGCTGCTGGGGGGTTCTTGACTTGAAACCGTTCCTGCAGAGATGGAGTGGGGTGTACTGGGTACCAGCCAGGGCCACCCCAGGGCAAATGGCCAGCCCTTGTCCCAAAGCCTCTTTCTCAGCTCGGATCTGAGGTCCCAGGCTGTCTTAAAACCCCCCACCTCGAACACCAAAGGCACAAACCCAAACAATCCACCAGGCCACTTTAAGAGATCCCTGGTCCCGGACCAGGCCATCCCTTTCCTTCATGGTCACAGCCTGGGTGCAGTGTGGAGGGGTCAGTCCTACCATACACCCTACCCTGGCGGGGGAGACTCGGGTAGGCCAGTAGGTGGCACCCTCGCAGCCTGCTGCCCTCCCTGGGCCTCGCCCCGGCCCAGAGCTGGGAATGCAAGGCAGAAGAACAATCCGGAGGGGCCTGAGGAGAGACCAGCACCTGGCAGGCTGAGGTTCCCTCCCCTAGGGCTCCATCCCAGCCGTCCTGTAGGGACCTGTGTGTGTGAGCATCCAGTGCTCAACACAGCGGCCCCACCCAGGGCTCTAGGAGCCACTCCGACAAGAGGTGGAGGCCACACCAGAGTCCCCTGCCCAAAGGAGCTCCCTCCCTTCCCAACCCAGACCCCTCAGATATGCCTGCCACCACCCTCAACCCCTCACTTCTCCCAGGCCTCTATGTGCCCAACCTGAGATGCTGAGGAACAAAGACCCCTACCCCAGCCCCGAAACCTCCAGAGGCAGCTCCCCGCCCTCACCTCCCAGACTCCTGCCCTGCCAGCTCCTCCCATCCCAGTCCATTAGCTGGAGCCGAAGGCCCAGCCCTGGCTCCCAGGGGAGGCTCCCTGCTCCCCAAATCCCCACCCCCCAGCCTCCCTCCCTTGCTGAATCAGGGCAGCAGCCAGGCCCCACCCCTCCCCGGCTGTACAGGAGGGGTCCTCGCTGCTACCATGGACAGCGGCCCCACAGCCAGAGGGCCCGGGCAGCCAGCGTGAGCCAAGAAGGCAGCAAACCCAGACACCTGACTGAGCCCCGGGAGCCAGAGGCTCTGGTCCCTGCTCTGCCATCTGGGAGCTGGCTGACTTGGGAAGCGGCTTGATTGACTGCAGGTCCTCTGGACCCAAGGTCAAAGGAGGACAGGGATTCCTGACCCTCCTCCCCACCCCTCAAGGGGTGGAACAAAGATGTCCAACCCAGGGACTGCACCTGCTCTTCCCCAGCCCAGAGGCTGCTCCAGGGAGCTCAGCAGGAAGGATGGGGACGTGGGCCCAGCCGCACTGGCCGCTGCCCTGGGCCAGCCCCTGCCCCAGCTCTTCAGAGGGCAGATCCAGCCTGGTTCATGTCTCATCAGGTCCAGCTCATCAGGCCCATGTCTCATCAGGCCCATGCCCAAGAGAACGGGATTCCAGAGTCCAGCATACGCCCTCAGCACCCTCCCAGACACCATGCTGGCCCCTGGGCAGGGTCGTGACCCCGCAGCAGCATGGCAGTGTCCCCTCCCCTACCCGTCCCAGCCTGGAGGGCAGGGCACCGGATGACAGGCAGGGCCTGTGCCCACCTGGTCACATATGAGCTCCCACTTCTTCTCGTTGTCATACTGGCTCAGCAGCTGGACCTTGTCCGGGGGCAAGTTCATGCAGTTCTGGGGAGGAAGACAACCAGGTGAAGAGGCTGAATCTGGAGATCCAACATTCAGGGGAGGGGAGCCTGGGTGTCTTCAGGGGACCCCCTAGAGACCAGTCCCTATCCCCATCTCACCCCTGGAGATAAGCAGCATTAGCCAAGGAGAACACCAAGGCCCAGACGTGGAACACCTCTCCGAAGGCCCAACAACTGGAAAGTGACACTGGGATTTGAACCTGAGCCTGCCTGACTCCGAGGCCTGAGTTCTGTCTGTCACCCCTGCAATGGAGGCAAGAGCATGGGTTCTCAGCCTGACTTCCGGGGATCTCAGGCCCCTCTGGGCTCGTTTCCCCATGTGTGATAAGCACGTATCATCTCTTCTCCCATTTGGGTGGGAAGCTAACAGGGACCCATCTTCATTCAAGCCCAAGTGTGGCCAGGCGTGCGCCATGCTCTGTTCCCATGTGCCAACAGACACCACATGTGTTTAGTCCCAGCTCAGGGCGCCTGTGTCTCATGAGCACCACAAAGCCACTTGCAAGGACAGCCGCCAACAGCCCCCAGCCCTTCCCAGCACCCTCCGCCTCATCATTTTGGGACAGAAGGAGTTGGGGACAGGCCGAGGGGGATGAAGTCAGACAGGCAGGGAGTTCCCAGCAGGTGATCACCGCTGCAGGGCCCAGGGAGATTCCAGGGGAAGGCCACTCCGTCACAGGAACCGGGGAGAGCAGGCAGCGCGCTGGGTCTGTGGCTCTGGTGGCCCAGGCTGGGACTCCCCTCCAGAACTAAGAAAGGTCAGCGCTGCTCTGCCTGGGCCCTCCTCCCCCAGCCACAGATGACAAGGCTGCAAGGCGGCTGCCAAGCCTCTCCCCACAGGACACGCTTAGGGTCCCACCTAGGGCTATGGAATCACCAGGAACCACCAGCACCAGGGTCTTCCTGGGCAGCCCACCCCCCAGACTGCGAGTGTCTCCCTAATAGAACCAGGAGATAATGCCAGTTCACCTCATTTCAGTAAAACCCAGGTTTATTGAGGGTCTACTAGGTGTCAGGTCCCAAAAAACAGTTCTGGCCCTCAAGGAGCTCAGAGTCTTAAGTGGTGGTGTGGGAACCTTGGGGAGACCCAGCCCAGGATGGAGGAGCCCACCCCCACCCCCCCACCATCCACACTGATGGCTCAGACTACACATCCTCGGTCACATGGCCCTGAGCAGACGCCACAGCTGGAGCAGAGACGGGGCCACACCCACACCCGAGGCTTCTCAGCCAGCTTCCTCTCTGGGGTGCTACGTCTAATTCTGGGGCTCTGGCCAGATCGCACCCCCAAAATCACAGCTTTCGGTCAGCCCCAGACAACAGGAAGCTGGGTGCCCTTAGCCCCTGGTTGCCCAAGCTTTCCGGTCAGGGCCCCACTTGAGAGGTGAAACAGCCTGTCCACCCGGCCCCCTCCCCGAGCGGGAGTCTGGGGATGGGGCTACGTCATCCCTCTCCCCCGTTGCGAAAGTGAGCCTGGATTGAGGAAACCGCCCCCAGTCTCATCTGCCACCCTCCCCCAACCTGGCACCAAGGGCCTGGACCGCTCCTGCCCTCTGGAAGGGACTGCCCAGGAAAGGGGCCCTGGAGCCCAGACCAGGGTCCTACTGGCCGGAAGTCCTCCCTGGGCCCATCCTCTGTCTCTGTCTCTGTCTCTCTCCCTGGACCCTCCTGATCCATCCCTCCACCCTACAGAGACCTAGGGTGGGGCAGAGCTGAGGTGGAGGGGGTGGGGGAGCCAATGGACAGGGAGGAGGAAGCAGAGAGAAGGCAGGCAACGTCAGGGAACCTGGACTGGTGGCCAGCACAGAGGAAGGAGTTGGGGGTGGGGGAAGGGCGCAGAGGAGTGGGGGAGGGCTCAGAAGCTTAGCCTTAGAGGGGTCGCTGCTTCCTGATAGGGGTCTTGGGGGTCCTCACCCATCCTGGGAACTTGTTGGCTCCTAGAGTGGCCCCAGCAGCACTTCTAGAGACAGCAACTAATCCTCATAATGACTCCAACAACTGTGATGCCAGCTTTGCCTGAGGGCTGACCAGTCCTGCTCACAGAGGGCCGCCTCCCCCCATCCCCACCATTACTGGTCTCACTGTCACCTGTCCACTACAGGTTCAAGCACAGGTTGATGACCTGCCCAAGGTTAGGAAGCCAGGACGAGGGGAGCCAGGCTGCCTTTGAGCCCCAAGCTCACTGGGAACCAGCGCCCAGGTCCACTCCCCCACTTCCACCCCATGGCTATTACTGGGGAGGGGGAGGCCTCTGCTGGGCTGGCACACCCGTCCAGTGGTGGTGGAAGGGAAGGTATCCCTTTGCCCCTTCCCCACCTGGGCCTCCTCAGGCCCCCAGGCCTGCATTCCAGCCTGCCAGACGGGCTAAATTTAGGCTCGGAAATCAGAAATAGCTCTGACAGCGCTGAGCGCTAATTAGCAGCTGTTCCTTGGAGGTGCCCACCGAAAGAGACGGGTCCCCTGGGGAGCAGGAGAGGGGAACAGGTGATGCTACTCGCTCTGAGTGGGGTGAGGCCACCCTGGAAACATCGACAGACCACCAGACTTGGGGTCCTTAGTGAGGAGGCAGCAGGCAGCACCCGGGGGTTGGGGGCTGAGAGACAAGCAGGAGGTTGGCTGAGGGTGCTCAAATGAGGTAGGAAAGGATTGTGAAGTCCAGGTGTCTCTATGTGGGGGCAGACACCCACCTCCTGCGAGGGGAGGGGAGGGAGGCAGCTGTGTCGTGGAGGACCTGAGCTGGATTCAGGGGACCCACCTAGCCTGATTACTTCTCTGCCTCCTTCAGCCTCACTTTCCTTTTCCATAAAATGGGCACATTTCCCTCCTGCCTCAGACTCAGGGCTCCCAGGACCACCCGGTGAGGTGCCGTGTTTTGATGTAACAATACTCTTCAGGGGCAAACCACGATGAAGAGACACGTCGCAGGTTGAGGGGTCGTGGGAGTCCACTGAAGCCCCCAAGGCGAGGGATGTGTGGCGGACAGAAGTTTGTGAAAAGAGCCGGATAAAGCGGACCTGTCTCCAAAGCTCGGCCAAAACACCGAACTGAGTCTTCAGCCCCCTCCCCCGCTGCTGTGAGACTCATCTCTCAGGGCGTGACCATGACCCTGACTGAGAGAAGCTTCTATTAGAATGTATGGGGGATCACTCAGCCTCCTTCCTGCCCCCCTCTCTGGGTGTCAGGGGGCCTCCAGCCCTGCACACTCAAGACCAGCCTCTTGGACGCCATCCCCAACTCCGCCTCCCTGACATCTTGGCAGGTGTCCCTGGAAACTGAAGGGGCTCCAGCTACATCTGGACACAGCCACACCCTCCGGTTTCACTTTCAGTTTGAGCTGAGACTCCATCCCGACACACCTGCCCACCCTTTCCCTAGGACGCCTAGCCCTTCAAGCCCCAGGATGCCCTTGAGCTTGGGCACCAGCCCAAATTCGCAGACCAGCCCCACAGGGATTCCACAGCCTGATGGATCCAGAAGCAAGCCCCCACTTCCCCATCCATCTCTCCCGCCCACCTCTATGTAGCCTCAACCTTGGTCTCAGAGCTCTCATTGCAGCTCCAGAAACAATCGATTTTATCCACTTTTCAAAATTCTGGTACATAGATTTTCTAGGGCTCTTATAAGCAATCCAAGGCATAGAGCAGGGTGTGGGGTAACCTGGCCCTAGGATCGGGTGCTGAGAACCCCACAAAGCTAACAGCTTCTCCCATCAGGGTTGAAGGGTCCCCATGGCAGGACCAAAGGCAAGCGGGGTGCCGCCCTTACCATCCAGGCTGGTAGGAGACTAAGAACGGTGATAACAACAATGGCTAGTATTCCCTAAAGTTATCATACTCAGATTAAAAATGATAATAATGAATATTCCTTCCAAACATTCACCCTATGCCATGTGACTTACATCTCAACACAAGCCTACAAAGTATCGGGTGGGACAAAAAGTTCATCCAGGTTTTCCATAACAACTTACAGGAACGCTCAAACAAACTTTTTGGCCAACCCAACAGATACTATCCTAATCCCCATTTCACAAATGGGAAACTGAGGCCTGGAGCCATTAGGCCGCTTGCCCAAGGTGACCTCGAAGCCAGCTGGTTAAGAAGCCTCAGCTTCCTCGAAGAAGGAGCGCTCAGAGCAATGAAAAACGTGGGTCCCGGGCCCCCAAGGGTCTTCCTCAGACAGCCTGACCCCAGGGGCCTGTCTGAGGAACCAAGAACAGCCAGCCCCGTTTCCTGCCACCCAGCACCCTACGTTTCCTGTTGTTGCCCATACAGAGCTCTTACTCACTGGGGAACCCCCCCCCCCCACCAGCACACCCTCTCTCAGAGGGAAGTGCAGGCCTCCCCACCCCCAATCCATGTGCACACAGCTACCGTTAGCACCGCCGCGGCCCCACCCTCCAGGAGAGGTGGGCCCTCCCTCTCGTGGTTTCCGGCCACCAGCAGCTTTCGTCAAGGCCCCACTGTGGCTGACCTGGCAGCCTGCGATGGCAGGCAGGGCAGCCTGGCCTACGGCGGTCAAAGACTAAAGATGGCACCTGTGGTTGGTCTTGAAGCTGGAGGTGGGGGAGGGAGGAGGCAGGGTCTGGGCTCCTTCCTCCTCGAGGGGCCCCTGAGATGAAGAGGAGCAAATGGGTCCCAACATCCTTCCGTCCTCACGGCGGACAGTGTTTACTGAGTACTTGCTCTGTGTCAGGCATCGTGTTAAGCATCTATTTAATCCCCTCGATTCTATTTAATCCCTTCGAGGATCCTAGCAAGTACACACACGCTTTTGATTTTTTGGTCGCACTGCGTGGAATGCGGGATCTTAGTTCTCCAACCAGGGACTGACCCCGCACCCACTGCAGTGGAAGCGCAGAGTCTTAACCACGGAACCACCAGGGGAGTCCTTGACATATAACCATTTTTCTTATCTTTTTTACACATGAGGAAAACTGAAGCTCAGAGCGTGTGGGTAACCTGCTCAAGGTCACAGAGGTAGTAAGTGGCCAGGACGAAGCGCAAATCCTCAACTTCATGACCCCAAAACCCAGTGAAGCTCCTCCGCCTTTCCCATGAGTAACCCCTGCCCTTCTTAGAGGCTGGGAAGCCTAAGCCACCTCCCAGGGCTCCGTGTTCCCAGGAAAAATGCAGAGGTGGCCCGAGAGCAGCCCCACCTGTTCCTGCCCATTTCCCCCTTCCAGCTCTTTGCCAACTGGTCCCAGATGTCACTGTGAATCACGCCGACCACATCCCTGGGTCTCCAGGGGCAGCATGTGCCAGGCCTGCTTGCTAGGAATGGCATCCCACGGCCTCTGCCCAGCCCAGCCCAGCCTCTGACCACAGAGCCACAGCCCCATCGGGATCCTCCATGTGAGACCCCAGAGACAGGAGACACAGGGTCAGAGTGACCTCACAGCTCCATGCGCCAAACTTCGTCTGGCCCACCCCAGAGGAGGGACCGATCGAAAAGGCAGTGCCTTGGTTGCAGTCGACAGAATAACATACCCACGTTTGCCCTTCACCTCCAGTCCCAGTCCCCACAGGGAAGAAGTCCAGCTAAAAGCAGGACTCCCAGCAGCCACACCCTGCTTCGGACTGTCCTGACCTCCCCACACAGCCTGGCCAGGTGTACACCACCTTGGGCACATGCTAAGGGCATCCCAGGGTGCCAGGCTCATCTGGTGAATTCCTCTCCTCTCAGATGCCAGCATCACTTGGCCTCCAGCACATCACAGCACCTTCCCTTGATCCCTTTGCCCCAGGGCTACAGTCTCCTCCCTGCCCAGAAAGATTCAGGGGTATCCTAGGCCAGACTGTAAACCTGGCACTTCCGGCAGGCCTTGGAAAGAGTGCCCTGCCGTCCCAAACCCTGACCCCTGCAGGGGAAGGCCCGAAGGGTCTGGAAGACACCCAGCGCTCAGCAGGGCGTAGGAGAGGCAGGAGCACAGAGCTTGGCGGGCTGGCTTCCCACCATCGCAGCAGGCCCGTGTCTCTGGGCAGCCGTCGCTCCTCCGCTGTTGCTAAGGCAGCAGGCGGAAACCCTGGCACAACCTGCTCTTTCTCCCCACTCCCATTTTAAGCCGGGGCACCCCTCTCTCTCACAGCCTCCCCGGAAAAAGAACCCCCGCCACCCATTCTTGCCTGGGAAGGAGGCTGCCCCTGGGGAAAGGGAAAGAGAAAACAAGCACCCTTAACTCCTGTCTAGCAGTGGGTCTGGTCGGGGCACCCCTGACCCACAAGAGGGCTCCCACTGCCAGAAGCCAAGCAGTGGCTTTGTATGGGATCCTACTCCCCACCCAGCTTCAGTGAAAGGAAGAGGTTCCCTGGGGACATGTGACTAGATCCCAAGGGAAGGGCTGTCTGTGCTTCCCCCATCCAGACTGGAGGATCCCTGGATGTGTGAGGCCCACCCCCTCAGCAGTCTGAGGTTCTCCTCTTAGATATTCACTGAGGACAGGACTCGGCTCTGGCCAAGGAGGCAGCGTTCAGATGGAGGGTGTGCAGAGCTCAGTCGCTCAGTCGTGTCTGACTCTTTGCAACCCCATGGACTGTAGCCCACCAGGCTCCTTGTTCCATAGAATCTTCCAGGCAAGAATACTGGACTGGGTTGCCATTTCCTACTCCAGTGGACACCTTCCCGACCAAGGGGTCGAACCCATGTCTCCTGCATTGGCAGGCGGATTTTTCACTACGGCACCATGGAGGCACCTCCTGTAATCCTTGTTACTAGCTGTGTGTGTGTGTGTGTGTGTGTGTGTGTGTTAGTGGCTCAGTCGTGCCTGACTCTTTGCGACCCCATGGACTGTACCCTGCCAGGCTCCTCTGTCCAAGGGATTCTCCAGGCAAGAATACTGAAGTGGGTAGCCATTCCCTTCTCCAGGATCTCCAGGGATCTTCCCAACTCAGGGATCAAACCTAAGTTTCTCCCATTGCAGGCAGATTCTTTACCCTCTGGGCCACACTAGGTTTAGCCAAATCCACAGCCCCAGCCAGCCTCAGGCAGGAGCCAAGGACTGTCACCCCAGGACACGGTGAGGAGTTAGAGAAGCCAGGTTCTTAGCCAAGCGACCTCGGGTTGGGTGTGTTCTGCTCATGCAAGACATGGGACAGGCTGATCCCTCCCAGGAAGAAGGGGGAAGTGTAAACACACTAAGGTTCCTGGGGGTTGGGAGGGGTGAGACCCAGTGGGTGCTGCTGCCCTAGATTTCCACCCCGCCACTACCTCTGTCTCCACCAAGACACCCTCAGACCCTTCTCTGGGCCTCCACCCTCCACGCCCTGCTTCTCAGGCACCCCAGTGGCATTCAGTGTCAGACTCAGCCAATCAGAGCAAAGGCCAAAAAAAAAAAAAAAATGCAAGCAGGGCAATCAAGTCCTACACAGGCATTACCCTTGACTTTTGGATTTTCCAGGGGTCTGAATTATTCACACAGCTCCTCCCCATCTCTTCTTGGTAACAGAGAACACACGGACTGGGGCCTGGGCCTCACCCCGAATGCCCAACCCCCCATCCATAGACACTTAAGGGCAGAGACAGAATGGTGTCCCCCCATTCAGGCTGGCTGGGGTCCAGGGATCCATCACTAACTCAGGCTCCCCCGATGGCCCCTTCTCCCCCTTCCAACTCTGCTCCGCTCCGCTCAGCTTTGTGCAGCCATGGGTTTGGGGAAAGGGAAGCAGGTGGAGAGGTAGGGTACTAGGGGCCTAGCCTTGTGAGGTATCCTCCCTCTCCCCGCCTCCCTCTCTCCAAATCAAGCAAAGTGGATAGATCAGAGCCCACCCCCACCCCACAGCTCCTCCAATCCCTCCTAGGCTTTCTCCTGGGAGGGGGCAGCAGCCAAGATTTCCAGGAACCGTTAGGAGGGGCCATGCAGAGGATCTGGCAAGTAGGGCCTCACGGCAGGCCAGGGGAGGGGAAGTGATGTCAAGGCGGTGGAAGGGACGGCCACCGGCCTGCATGGCTCTGCTGCCTGCAGCTCCCTCGGGCCCCCACCCTCAGACCTGCAGTGCCAGCCTGCTCAGACTTGGAAGTGCCTCTGGGGAAATGTACGGCCTTATTTGCCTGTCACCCACGGTCTGGAGAGGGAGCTGACAGCAGACAGGCCACCAGGCAATTAGTTAGAGAAGGGAGCCTGGGACAGGGCTGAGGTAGGCAGAGGGAAGTGAGAATGAGGGGCCTTTCGCCCTCCTTCTTCCACCGGGTCTTAGGGCACCCTGACTTAGCTCTGGAGCCCCCACCCACCAACTGCCTCCAGGTTCGATCTGAGCTGGTGGTTCCCTCCCCGGTGGCCTAGTCCCCAAGCGCCCCCAGTTCCATGGAGCAGGTGACAGTGTGGGAGGGGGGCTTTCAGACTTTTGCCCCACCCCAAGCCAGAGCTACCAACCCATCCTGACCCCGCCCTTCCTAACCTGAATCCCTCCAGTGGGTGCGAGGGGAGGCCCAAGAGAAGGACCCACAGACAAGCACTCCCTGACAGAGGGAGGAAGAAACACAGCCAGCACCTCTGCCTGACCTGACAACCCAGCTCCCAGCAGCTCAGACACCAGCAGATCAGGACCCCAAAAACAAGCAGATGCTCCAGACTTGCACCCGGCAGCCTGGTCTGCGTGCAGAGGGAAAGGGGGTGCCCCCGGGACCCCACAGCACCGTCGAGCTCACAACTTCCTCACAGGACATTTTTGTTTAGACCTTTAGACCCAGAAGCTCTGGGGGAGGGGGTGTCTTGGGGAGGGAGGCTGGGGGATCGCAGAAGAAAGTTTTGGGGGGAGAGTGCTAAGTCACTCTGAAAGAAACCACTGTCACTCCCACCCCCCCTGGAGGGGCCGCCGGGGATCTCCAAGCGGTACCTGAGCCCCCGGGGGCGGGGACGCCTGGCGAGCCCCTGTTACCCTACGCCCGAGCCGCGCGCACGGCGGGTCATACTCACCAGGACCCGGTTAAACCTCTCCTCCAGCTCTCCGGCCGCGGGCATGGGCTGCTTGGGCGCCGCGGGCTGCTTGGGGGCCAGCGCAGCGGGGCTCGCGGGCTGCTCCGCGCTGCCGGCCGCGTTGCCCATGGTGGTCCCCACCCAGTCGGCCAGGCGCCTCCAGCCTCGGAAATCCAGCTTTCCCGGGGAGGGCGGACAAGGCTCCTGGCCTGGGGGGGTGGGGGGCGAGAAAGGCAGCGGCTCTCGGCGGTGGCAGGGGTTCGGCGACGCGGACGCTCGGATCAGCGGCGCGCAGGGACCGGGGCGCGGCGTCCCATCGGGGCGGCCCCGTCCGAGGAGCCGGGCGGCGGGCTGCGGGGTGGGGGGAGGAAGTCAGGCTGCAGGCCGCCGGGGCCAGAGGGCTGGGCCGGGGGCAGGAAGCTGCGGCGCGGGCTCCCCCCTCGGCGATCTTCTAACTTCTGCTGTCTCTCCCCGTGAGCGCAAACCGCATTTCGGCGCCGCCGCTACGCACCCAGCCCCAGGGGGGCGGGCTGGAGGGAGGGGGCGGGCGCCGGGCGCCGGCCGGGGGTCCACCGCAGCCATCGCGCTGCAGAGAGGGGGCTACCGACCCGCTTCACCTGCCGCAGAGGGGGCGGCGGGCGCCTCTTCACCTGCCGGAGCGGGAGCGACAGAAGCGAGGCAGAGGCGGCGGCGCGCTCGGCGGCGCCTCCGGGTCCTAGAACCGCAGGCTCCTGCTAGCTCGGAACCGGGGGTACCTGCGGGGTCTGGGTGAAGGGGGTCACAGCCCGGGGGACAAGGGGGGCAATCCTCGGAGTTGAGGACCGCCAGCACCTACGAGGGGGGCTTGGAAACCCATGACGCCGCGGAGCTGGTGCGCAAGGGCTGCGTCCTTCCCTCTGGTTCCCGCCGAAGAAGGTGGGAACCCCCTTCCAGGCCCCCCACCCCTTGTTTCTCTCCTTCTCTGTTTAGCCCAGGACCGAGCTGAAGACCAGAGGGAACCATGGGCAAATAAGAACACCAAAGCAGGGGTGGGGGGCGCAGATCCAGGCCAGTGGAGACCCCTGCGACCTGTTCCACTCTGGACCGACTCTGCGCCCGTGCCAGCATCCTCAGGGCTTTTAGAATGGAGGTGCCCATGGAAAAAGGCAGACGAGTCTGGAGACCATCAAGGCGGTCTCAAGGAGAAGCGCAGGGTTGGGGAACAGGAGGATTAAGGCCAGCATCCATGCTGGGAAAGAAGCGGGCACTGCAGAGAGGGGGGAAAAATCTTGACGCTGTCACCTCCAGGAATCTAACTAAAGTGGCCTCTCACTCACCTTGGCGAATGAGAGTCTCTGAAGTCTGGCAATTACAGCAGTACTTCCAGAGGTCTTCTTTCCGTCATCCTAACAATGACCAGGGAAGGTAGGTATTGATATCCTCATTTTAGAGGGGGAGATTGAGGCTCAGTGTGACTTGCCCAAGGACCCACAGTTAATAAAGAGCAGAAACAGGCCTCCTTTCTGTCCACCTGAAAAATCTCCAGTGCCTTGGCCTGGCCTTCTACTTGCCCTCTCATTCAGGATGTACCAGAGGATGAGAGAGTGTTCAGAGGTGGAGGGTAGAATCCTAGGTCTGGGCACAATCTCCAGCCTGAATGTGAGGCTTTTCTCTTTCAGGGGTTCCTCCTGCTCCCTACCTAATTTGTGGGGATTCTCAGCTGGTCCTTCCTTGCTCTGTCAAGGCATTGAGGACCGAGGACCCATTAATGAACCCTGGCTTTTCTCTAGGCCAGGCAGGAGCCATATATGTCCCCTCCCCTATAGCTTCCTCTTCCTTCTGCCCTCCTCCTCAGATTCAGAACTACTGAAGTTCAAGCAGGAGCTGGGAAATTTTATCTAATCTTAAGGAAGGCCGTGGAATGAGCCAGCCCCTTCCCCCAGGCTGACTTGATTTAAACCTTTCTTCTGCCAAGGTCACAAGCACCTCTGGTGGGTGAGAGATGTGATCACTTATTTCATGTCCCAATCAGGGACCCATTAGGTCAGACAAAGCAAGATACTCCTTGGGCATGTCAAGAAGGTGACGCTGTGTGCCCACTGCCCTCCGCTCCAGCCCAGAGCAAACCGCAGTCTTGCCCTTGGGTCCTTGCCCTTGAGATTACCTAGGACCTCTCTTTTTCTTTTCTTCTTCCTTCCTTCCTCTCTTTCTTTCACTCTGTCTCTTTCTATTTAAAGAATATAGTCCCCGATCTCTTCAATGGCTCTCTTTCCATTTAACAAGCCTTTAGTTAGCACTAGCTCTGTGTCCGGGACCGTGCTCACTCCTGAAAGTTCTGAGGCTGATAAGAAGAGTCTCTGTCCTCAGGCTGCTCACAGCCTAGCAAGAAAGGGACACACTCTCAACACATCTGGGAGAGTGGCTTGTGGGAGCTGTTTCCCATAGCTGGAAATCCCATCAGGGGAGCCTCTAATGTAATAGTTGCCAGCCTGCACTCTCAATCCCTAGGAGTGGTCAGGTCCTTGCCAACCACTGCCCACCCAAGGCCTAATGGAAATAAGCCTGGGCTAAGCAGAACCTCTGGTGTGGAAAATGATCAGCCCAACAAACCTACGTTATCTCTCTCTCATGCTGATCAGAACTGTAAGGTGCCAAAAAAAAAAGAATGGAATTTTAATCAATTGTACCTAATAGGTTTGGTTTGCTTGGCAGGAAGTATCTTTCTTCTGTGGTCCACAGAGGAGGAAATCCTAGAAAGGATGCTTGAAGTTTAGGACCAATGCTTTGGTGGGTCTGTGCTTCCCCCTGCTGGGCACAGGAGGTATGACAGCCAAGACAGGGTGAGGCCTCCAGTGGTGATGGAGATGGAGTCATAGCGTGGATGACATTTCTAAATTGTTGTCGCCTTGTCACCTCTGATGGAATGATTGTGCAGTCATTGGGCACACTTGGAGCTCAGGTGAGTGAGCAGGTTTCCCCAGGAATCTCCTCCCTCCCCATCCCTGCTCACCATTACTCAGTCGGTGCCTCATTTTGTCTAAGGTAATACATGTGCACAGTTTAAAAGAAAAGCAATTTTAATTTATCTTTCCAGAGATACTTTGGATATTTACAAGCAATGCATGTGTGTGTGTGTGTGTGTGTGTGTGTGTGAGAGAGAGAGAGAGATAGCACACATTCCACACTGTTTGATACCTTGTTATTTTCACTTAGTAGTATTTCTGCCTCCGGGGCTTCCCTGGTGATTCAGTGGTAAAGCAGGAGACACAGGTTCGATCCCTGGTCCAGGAGGATCCCACATGCAACTAAGTCCAAGCTCACCACAACTGCAGAGCCTGCCCTCTAGAGCCTGGGAGCCCCAGCTACTGAATCCATGTGCAGCAACTACTGACTCCCATATACCCTAGATCCCTCCCATGCTCTGCAATAAGATAGTAGCCCCCACTCGTAGCAACTAGAGAAAAAGTGCCTGCAGCAACAAAGACCTACCACAGCCAAAAATGAAAAAATAAAATTATTTTTAAATAATAATAATTTTAATTATTTAATTATTAATATGAAAACTATTTATTATTATTTATTTCTGCCTCTACAAAAGCTACATAGGCTTTCAGCACATTGAATATATCACAATTTATTTCACTATTCTCTTCCTAGTGGGTATTTAGATTGTGTCAGCCTTTTGTTACTATAAACAATGGTGCCTATAGGCAAATATCTTTGGTACATATATTTATTTGCACTTATGGGTGTATCTGTAAGACACATTTATAAATATGACATTGCAGGGTCAAAGGTTATATACTTTTAAATGTCAGATAGATTTTCACTGAAATTTGGATAGATTTGAAATTGCCTTTCAAAAAGTCTGCACCAATTTGCAACCTCCAACAATGAATGAGATCACCTGTTTCAACCATCCTAACTAACAGGATATTTTCAGGCCTTTTGGGTTAGTTTTGTGGGTTTTTTTTTTTTTTAATATTTGTTTATTTGACTGCACCAGGTCTTAGTTGCAGCACATGGGACCTTTAGTTGTGGCATGAGAACCCTTAGCTGCAGCATGTTCCCTGACCAGGGATCAAACCTGGGCCCCATACACTCGGACCATGGAGTCTTAGCCACTGGACCACCAGGGAAGTCCCAGCCTTTTGGTTTTTGATGAAGCCTCTTTGAAAGTCTTTGTGAGAAGGCAGGTTATGGATGATCTTTCTCTTTCTTCAAGGCAGAGACTGTCTTTTCTGGCCCTGTCTCCCCAGCACAGGGCTTAAATACTAAATGAAAGAAAATAGGACTGCGTTTTAGTAGACCTGGAGAAGGGAGTAGAGGGTTAGGGTTAAGCATGAACCCTGACCTTAAGGGTCACTCTTGTTTCCAGGCCCTGGTCAAGCCTCTGCCTCAAACCCAAAAGCCGTCCTCTTGAGAATTCCCTGGCAGTCCAGTGGTTAAGAGTCTGTACTTCTATTGCAGGGGGCATGGGTTCGATCCCTGGTTGGGGAACTAAGATCCCAAAAGCCAGGCAACTTGGCCAAAAAGCAAAAGCTTTCCTCTTGCAAGCACCTCCCAGATTTTAAGATCTGATATTAAAGCATTTCCTAGGCAGCTCTCACTCAGCTCTCTTGTATCCCAGGGATGGGCCTCATCATCCCCGAGCTGCCTAAAGGAAATAAGCCAGATGTTCAGCAACTGAGGATCAGTTAAACCAGCAATCCAGTAGAACTTTCTGTGATGGTGGAAATGGCTCTGTGCTGTCCAATACAGTAGCTACTAACTACATATCGCCACTAAGTATTTGAAATGTGCAACTGAGAAAATAAATTGCAAAAACAAGTAAATTAAATTAAAAAAAAGAAAAGAAATTTCGCTGTTCTCTCTTCCCCCCTCCCTCCCACAATACCAACAGCTTGTAGGATCTTGGTTCAAAAACCAGGGACTGGGGATTGAACTTGTACCCTCCACTGTGAAAGTTTGGAGTCCTAACTACTGGACCACCAGGGAATTCCCAGAAATGAATATCAAATTTCACTTCATTGCAATTAAGTTCAGTGTAAATAGCCACATATAGCTACTATACTGAACGATGAAGGGTTAAATAAATGTATAAAGGTACATCCCCATCACAGGAAACTATGCCACTATAAAAAAAAATG